CAGGAAAGATGAAACTTATAGGGAAACGTCCTCAGGTAGTGTAGATTCAAATTTGTTGAATATATGCCATTAAAATGATATATAAAATGTGTATATAGGAAAATTCTTTAAAAATCTTCTCCTCAAGAACCACCGTGTGAAACTTATCAGGGAAACGTCCTCAGGTAGTGTAGATTCAAATTTGTTCAAATCATGATAGGGCGGGACCACAATGGCCGACCAAAGTTTTACATATAAATTTATAGGAAAATTCTTTAAAAATCTTATTCTCAAGAATAGCAAAGCCATAATCCATCATATTTATATGGAAACATCCTCAGGTAGTGTAGATTTTAAGTTTGTTCAAATTATGACCCCAGGGGGAGGGAGGGACCACAATGGCCGACCAATTAAAGTTTTACATAGAAATATATAGGAAAATTCTTTGAAAATGATCTTCTCAAGAATAGCAGAGCGGTAATTGATCATATTTATATGGAAGCATCCTCAGGTAGTGTAGATTCAAGTTTGTTCAAATCATGACCCCCGGGGGTAGGGCGGGACCAAACAGCAAAACATTTAAAAATCTTGTTCTCAAGAATTACTTACAAGAGTCAGAAAAGCTGAAACTTATGTGGAAGCATTCTCAGATAGTGCAGATTCAAATGTATTCAAATAATAAAACCCAGGAGTTGGGAGGGGTCTTAATAGATTATGGCATTGAAAAGGGGGGGGGGGTGTTTAATGGTATTATTCTGGAAAAATAATGAAATAAATTTTAGGTAATTAAAATATTCTTTTAAATATTACTGGGACTTTGAATATTCTTATGAAAAAAGAATAAATTATAAAAACAAGCTAAACACTACTAGGATATTTTTCCTTTGTTTGTTTGTAGAACTATCTATTTAAGTCGGGTTCGATATACGATTAATTTGAAAACGAGGCTTTTGTTGCGGCCATATTGGAAGAGAACGTAGAGTCTAGATTAGATAGTCATCCCACAGAGAATATCGTGTCAAAAATCGGTTTCATATTAGTTGTATCAAGGTAATATGGTGTATAGATTTATGAAAGACAAGTACACGACCCGCTCTTGTAGAAATTATTGAAACAGACAACGTAAATGATAAAGTACTTATGTATTAAATATACGCGGTGAAAACCAACAACCCCGACTTTTATATATATATTTAAAATCTAATAAGAATCGTAAGTCATGGCCTAACAATCAAACTAATGACTCAGTTTGAAAGTTAGAAACACGAAAACGGTGTTATTCTTATGATTTGCTGAAATTTTGTCGGAAACGTTCCGAGTCACCAATATCATAATAGGCTTATTTATTCCTTATTCTAGACAGAGTTTCAATCGAAGATTTACAGCGCTCACCTGAGCACAAGGCTCAAAAAGCAGCTTTTCTGATCAAAATTTGTCCGTTGTCTGTCGTTGTTGTCGCAGTCGTCGTCGTTGTCGTCGTAGTCGTTGTCGTTGTTGTAAACTTTACACATTTTCATCTTCTTCTCAAGAACCACTGGGCCAATTTCAACCAAACTTGGCACAAAGTATCCTTGTGTGAAGGGGATTCAAGTTTGTTCAAATGAAGGGCCACACCCTTTTCCAAGGGGAGATAATCATGAATTTGTTAAAAATTAATAACATTTTTAAAAAATCTTCTCCAGAACCGCTGGGCCAGGAAAGATGAAACTCATGTGGAAGCATCCTTAGTGTAGATTCAAGTTTGTTCAAATCATGACCCCCCCTAGCCCCAAAATGGCCGACCCAAGTTTTACATAGGAATATATAGTCTTTAAAAACCTTCTTCTCCAGTACCACTGGGCCAGGAAAGATGAAACTCATGTGGAATCATCCTCAGGTAGTGCAGATTCAAGTTTGTTCAAATCATGGTTCTAGGGTGGGAAAATGAAGATTTTACATAAATATATAGGAAAAATCTTTATATATCTTCTCAAGAACCACTGGGCCAGGAAAGATGAAACTCATGTGGAGTCATCCTCAGGTAGTGTAGATTCAAGTTTGTTCAAATCATGACCCCACTAGGGTGGGGCTAAAATGATTTTACATAGGAATATATAGGAAAAATCTTTAAAAATCTTCTTCTCAAGAGACTGGGCCAGGAAAGATTTTGTGGAGATTTTTCTCAGGTAGTGTAGATTCAAGTTTGTTCAAATCATGACTCCCGGGGCTAGGGTGGGGCCAAAATGGCCGACCCAAGTTTTACATAGGGATATATAGGGAAACCTTTTAAAATCTTCTTTTCAAGTACTTCAAAGCCATGATTAGTGATATTTATATGGAATCATCCTCAGGTAGTGTAGATTCTAGTTTGTTCAAATGATGAACGCCTGGAGGGGGGGTGGAGTAAATTCAAGCCTGGTGTGCTCAGGTGAGCGCTGTGGCCCATGGGCCTCTTGTTTTATCTTACGTCATAACATTTTGTCCTGATACATACGCTTAACAATTTTATATTTGATGAAACATGTGATTAAATCGGTGATATTTTATGTAATAATATTTAATGTAAAAAAAAAATATTAGTAGAATAAAGTGTGGGGTTAATGCAGTTAATAAGACGTATAGGGAAAACCTCATAAAATATGTATATCTAAATTGCATGATGATATACCCCAAAAATCATGGATCTAATTTTTTTTTTATATTAGCCATTGCACAATCTAAGGAAAGGCTGAAATCCTGGCGTTTAAGTAATCAAAGAAAATCATCTCCAAAATCCGAACAACCTCAAAATGAAGTCCATTCCTCCTCTGAAGTTAAAAGCGGTAAATATTTTCTAAAAATTGCAGAAAGATTGTTTATTTTTTAAAAATGAAAAGCTTTGAAAATTCTAAGGCAGTTTTCATTTTTCAAAATTTATGTAAGTAAGGAATACAGAACAACTTGTTTCTATGAAAACACTTCTTCGCTAAGTCAACTTTTCATAATTTGATAAATTATTGGTATTTCTTTGCAATGGATTCGATTCCTTATTTAAGGACAACAATTTTGTTGCAGTATAATGTTTATAATTTGGGAAGGAGATTAAATGTATCATAAAAACAACAAAAAATTAATTCAAAAGAAAATATTTGATTTCAAAGTATTCCTTGACGATTTCAGTTTGGTACGATGAAACAAAAATTACTAAAATTAAATGTGTTATTCTTTTTAAATAAGTGTTTAATTCTTCAATTTGTTGCTTGAAATTCTTCTATTGTTGTTCTTGTTATATATTTTTATTTCAGAGTCGGACATGTAAAAGAAGATTTACTTCTAACGTGTACATATATGAAGGGGGTGCTCTAAATGAGACAGTGGAGACCACGCTATATTTTTGAACAATTTCAAATTACTAAATTCAAAAATATGATGAGACCATTGTAAAAGGAAGAAACCTTGTAAACATGTGAATATTTCATAGTGCATATCTATAAATTGTTTATATATATTGACGAAGTAGTGTTCTTTTCAAACAACGGTAGAATCGTTTGTCGGAAAACTCAAGCAGAATTTTCCTCTGGTATTGTAGTCTTGTTCATTATCATGGAGAGGAATATGTATAAATTATATCTTCCCAGAATCATCATAAGAAGTATATAAGGAGGGATTCGCCAAGCAAGAAAGGGAAGTTAATGTGTTTGTATCTTTTTAATTGGATTATTCTTTTTAAATATTTATAAAGTATTTTGAAAATGCATGTATGAAGGCACATAGTGTAAATAAGAATGCCTGAGGCAAAATAAAAGCATGAGTTTAGATGCATGTGTAAAGATCCATAGTGTCAACTGACCTTAAAGAAGTGATTGTAAAAAAGACCACGAGCTCCCTTCTCACGAATTTTACAAAGAAACTAGTTTGACAGTGTTAAGGGAACCAGAACCGTTATTCAAAGTGGATAATTAAAATCCCATTGCTGTTTTTTATCACCTGAATTTGTAGAAATGTTATACTTATCCATTAGTTTATGTTTTTTTTATCTAATGGTTTGGTATTTTATTATATTTTATTGTATGTATTAGATGACTGGAAAGTATACTTGATTTAAATTATTATAATTGCTATTTCAAATAAACTTGCAATACTTGAAATAAATTTTATCACGCTTATTTAATTGTTTCTGGTATTTGAAAAGTAAAACCCGTAATATTTGAAATAAACTTGATCACTTCTATTTATTTGTTTCTGGTATTTGTGTAGTAAAACCCGTAAAGTAACTAATTTGAATTATGCATGAATGTTTCAAGGTTCTTTCCAAGGTTCTTATATATATATTTTTATAATTTAATTCTGGTTGTAACGCTGTATCTGATTGGATAAAAAATTCACTTTGTATCGTTTAAAATGGGTTACCTATGTCACAATGACTTTTGTTAAAAGCGTATCAATCCGCCTGACGTTTCTTTCAAATTTTATACAAACTGAAGTCATTATGTTAGAACAATATTCTTTTTTTTCTTACATCAAATGAATATTAAATTATAAGCAATGAATTTAATAGCTACTTATTTTATACGGTATAAACTGGGTTGGAACATTTTACGCTTTTTTATAAACAGCTTTGCATATTAAATTCATTCCTTAATTAAATGGATACCTAATTGAGAAAAAAAATTTAATGCAAACTATTTTTTTTTGGTTACCAATGTAATAGTAAGTCTTACACTATATACATACAAGTACATTGCAGAAGTATTAAAAAGAGTAAGTGGAAATATTTTTTTTTTATTTTTAAACTCATCCAAATATATAGAGTCTCAAAACAAAAATATTATATACATTTATAGTATATCGTACATGTGCAGATTTTCGTGGCATTAACTCACAATTAAACATGATAGCATCACAAGAACAATAACTTATATCATCTGAAAGACGAAGTCGTTCATGTTACTTGACAACGTCTAATAAAAATTTGAACAGGATCGTGTTCATTTATCATATTTATGTTTATTGTACAGGGGGGTGTTTTCTGCATCCGAATTTGTTCATTGATAATTCATGATTTACACTCGATATACGTTCAAAACATTGCGGTTACTACATACACAGCAAATGTTCATTCTTTCGTTCATTTTTATAAACACGGGTTGAGTTATATTTTCGATGACCTTTAAATGTTCACCAACGTTAGACAATACATGGATATTGTTACTTTTTTTAGCAGCAACAACAACATTATTCACAGAATCTTCTTCAAGTTCAAAGGGATCTTTCATGTTTTCATTTTCATATTTCCAGATAATGTCTCCGTCTTCCGATATTGCCGTGACTGTATCGAGCACCCAGTTGCTGTAAACTATCAGCCCTTTATTTGTCAAAAGAAGGTGTATATTATTTTTGCCTTCTGTTTCAAATTCCTTTGTTTTGTTCCCAGAAAGATCGGTTTTTATGATTTTCGTTGCACATGCAACATAAAGCGCCCTATTCCGGATTTGTATACCATAAACTGATTCATTCATCGGAATTGTTCGTAGTTTTTGGAAATCAGTGGCAGAATACACTTTTATTGACATTGTCCCGGTGCAAGTCACAAAAAGTTCGTCTAAATTTTGCACAACACAAAAAGGCCTATATAGTCCATTAATTACATTTGTTTTAGCCCATGCATTATCATATATTATGCACTGCCCCTCGAAAGCATGGTCAATTACTGCAAAAGTATCATTTGATAGAAAAGTTCCAGTATAAATAGAAACCACACTCTCTTCTTCAATTCTAAATTTAGGAACAATGGGTAATTGCATGGTACTCAAGTTGTATATAACGTGATGATCTGTTGTGGTACAATCAATATCTATGAGAGATTCCATATCTTTCAGTTCCTTCAAAATGGATGCTTTATTCTCAGTTACTTTTATGTGCTTCGTTCTAAAGCTACATTGTTTTAGCTGTGAAGCTGTGTCCTTTGCTAAGTAATAATTCATCAGAAGTTCTCTTTCGTCCATTGTTTTCCTGGCTTTCTCAATATTCTGACAGCATTTCTTAGCGCAATTAATCCCATCTTCTAACGTGCTGGCACATTGGTCAAGTTTTTCTCTGCCTCTTTTTTGGGCCACAGCAATATCTTCGAGATGTTTGTTTTTCATTTTTTTAATATGTTCAGTTAAATCTTTAAATTCCTGTTCAGTTTTCTTTGTCATTTCATCAAAGGAATCTTCTAGTTCTGCCATATTCTTCTCCTGCTCTTGCTTGGCCTCTGTTAGTTTATTTTCTATATTTCTTACTTCTTTCAACAGAACATTTAATTTATCGTTTTCTCTAAGATATACAGCTGCATTATGAACAGTGTCAACATTTTCACATTTTCTGTGCTTCGATCTACATGTGCCCGCGCACATTAAACAACACGGTTGTTCGTGGTCGCCACAAAATAACTTTATCGATTCATTGTGTTCAGAACATCTATAATATTTTCCAAATTCATGAGTAATCTCTCCAGTCCTTATTTCTTCTACCTGACACACAGTATGACCTTTAGAAAGCAAATGTTTTCTGTGATATTTCGTACACAAAGCGCATAAGTATTCCGCGCAAGAAAGACAAAATCCGGTTGCATTTTCAGTTTCATTATCTCTTAAACAAGCATCACAAAACCTCTCATCTGGTTTTTCTACCAATCGCTGTAAAGCAACATTTACAGGGAATACTTTTGCCCATTCCTCTGGTTTATCATTGGCGCCAGTAAACGGAATATACTCACGACATAAAGGACATTTAAATCCCAAACGAGGCTCCGTAGATTTACAAACGCTGGCAATGTAGGTTGATAAACAATTGTGACAGAACGAATGCATACACGGCAGACACCTCGGTGTTTTGTATTTTTCGACACAAATTGAGCAGAGAATTAAGTTTCCAGTCGCACTGTCCGCAGAGACCGTTGCCATTTTGAAAAACTCACACTTTATATCCACCGGAAGAAAGGCCTGTTTACTGGAAATGAAGCCGTTTAGAGTCATAATTCTGACCGTTCATCTGTGGGAGTGTTAGTAAAACGGCATCCTCCTAGCTTGGGCTTGTGTTTTTAGTTCTGATGAAAAAAAAATAGCTTCATTTTTAAATAACAAAATATTGATAGCTGATCAAATATTATTATGGAGAAATTTTATAGTTTTATTTAAGGACAGATGATACAAACAAATTTTTGTTTGAAAAAGATTAAATATCATGTCACAAGTTTAGAAAAGTGGATGGTTCTTAGAATTTTTTATCCGAAGAACTGGAAAATGAAATAGATTTGGAAAATATTAGTAATATTTCAATAAAAAAACGAATATAGACAAATCACATTCAGTATAGGTTTACAGGTGAAAATAAATTTCAGAATTTGTTATCCTGGCGCTAAAAGTGTAATATAAACCTTACAAAAATATACCAAGCCAGGTGAATTTTAAGAGGAAGATCGAACTGACAAAAAATTGGCAATATCACATTGGCTGATTTTTATCATTTAGCTTTTCCTAATAAAATTCACCTGGATCGGTATATTTTTCTTAAGTTTATATTACACTTTTAGCGCCAAGATAACAAATTCTGAAATTTATTTTCACCTGTAAACCTTTACTGAATGTGATTTGTCTATATTTGTTTTTTCATTGAAATATTACTAATATTTTCCAAGTCTTTTTCATATTCCAGTTCTTCGGATAAAAAATTCTAAGAACCATCCACTTTTCTAAACTTGTGACGTGATATTTAATCTTTTCCAAAGAAAAAAATTGTTTGTATCATCTGTCCTTAAACGTACGTTTTGTATACTTTGTACAGAATATTTTTTTTCAATCAATCAAATGTATGAGCCGATGCTACAGATTACATTTATCCATTATCGTGACAGATTTCTTCCCACTACATGCAATACAAATTCTGTTAACATGCAACATAATTATGTAGACATGCAACATATTTATGTCAACATGCAACATATTTATGTCAACATGCAAGTTAATTATGTTGACATGCAAGTTACCAATCTAATAAGAAAAGATAATTTAATCATAGTTAAATTTACTTATTAACGCCCGTATGTGGCATCGTAGATGCAAAATGCAACATAATTTTGTATATATGCGACTTATTTATGTCAACATGCAACTTATTTATGTCAACATGCAAGATAATTATTTCAACATGCGACTTATTTATTTCAACATGCAAAATAATTGTTAATATACAAGATATGTATGTTGATATGCAATTTATTATCTTGCAAATTGACATAAATATCTTGTTTGTAAAAATACAACTCGCAAGTCGCATGAAGACATTAATAAGTCGCATGTTGACTTTTCAATAAATTTAAGTATTCAAGGTTCCGTGGTTCCTGAGAAGAAACTTTGAAGTATATGTTTCCAAATTAATTATATTTAAATCTATATTTCGTTATTGAAGATGCTGAATTTACATTAAATCCTGAATTAGTTTTTATATTTGCTAATCATGAAATGTTGAGATATCAAACAGTATTGAAAAGTTTAAATCATTACGTCTTTCACTAGTTTACAAACAAGTGATGTTTTTAGCTTTCTATCAATGACCTTTTCTTGTAACATTTTCAAACTTTAAACAAATGTATGAGACTCTGTCGCATTTTTTTAAAGCTCACTCGGATATATAGAGTCTTCATATGAATGGAAATGCATGTAAGTAGTGCTAATTACTAACGCTCTCGAGCGCTAGCAACTACGTTACTCCAAATTCCTTGAATATGCATGCTCGGCTTTACGGTCGTGCATTCTGGGAAAACTGTGAAAACTACAGAAACTATAGATAGACCGTACGATAACAATCCGTTGTATCATTAAATAACTAGGTTTTTTTTATTGTGTTGCTTACAGTTTAAAGATAATTATAAAATTGTAATACTTTAATTTTCCCTTTTTTTCTGACGGAAAGCCCGAGTCGTTATCTGATTTGTCTAAACAAAGACGAGCCTCAGGGAGGTTTTTTTAGTCTAACCACAACCAAAGATAGACTCTTATTTCTGGTTGGTCAATTCAGGCGATCTTACAAATTCCAGAAACAAGATTTTACACTAAAAATAACGAATAACAAAGGACCAAGCTACTTCACATCTTCACATTCGGAACTCTCTTGATTTCTTCATTGGCCTACAAAATACACTTTGGTAATCACCCATGCAGAGTTGTTGTTCGTTCCTCTCAGAATGTATGAGTTGATGGTAGAGAGTGACATTTTGAATTATTTTCTATTCTTTTAAACCCCCCTGTATTTTCTTTGTTACATTGCTAAGAAATTCTATTTTTAAATCAGCTCATTCAATGCCTTAATCGACATCTTCACCATATTATATAGAGTTTCTCCAGTAAAGGTCATAATATTATATAGAGCACCCCCCTCTCCAGTAAAAATCTAAATGTTCCGTTGCACCTAAACTTCAATAGGTCAACAACCCCCCCCCCTTTCGTTTCTTAACCTATGTGTCTATAAAATACACAAAACAATTATAACGTTATAATACTCAAGCCTCGATGAACATTAAAGAATTCAGCAAAATAAATCACTTGATCACGGACCTTCCTTTCTGATTTTAAACATTGATACGGATATAGCTCATGTATCTTTTTTAAAAGATAAGCTTGTAACTTAAATATCACACTCCAGCCTCGATAAACATTAAGGAATTCAACAAAATAAATCATTGAACACGGATCCTCCTTTCTGTGTTTTAAAATTGCTACGGCGCTAGCTCACCTATCTTTCTCAAAGACAAACTTGTATGTTAATGATAATATCAAATGGTGACTTGAGGGCAAAAGCCAGTGTTTTCTTCTTCTCATAAAAAAAGATAGATTTGAAATAAATTCAGTGTAATTAATATGAAAACTAAAATAGGTCTGCTTAAAACAGCATTCAACTGGATCCCATAGGAATTCCATTGGTTTAACCGGGCCTTTAAACCTACTTTGATATTGTCAAAAACTCTAACATCTTTCGAAATCAACTTCAGAATATTTGTGAGGACAATAAAAGTTTGTTACACAATTTTTTTTTAATTGGAAGTTGTTGGTAAATTGACTTTTCTTTACTGAAAAAGCAGTTGTTCATTATGTAAGAAGTTTTGAATGGAATTTTTTCATTGGAAATTGTTGTTCAGAGGTGTGCAAAGTCGAAGTTATAACGTTAATAAATTTCGTAAAAATCTGTGATTTTTAACTCTTGAAATAATTTCCTTCAATGTTTGAGTATCTTCATTTGATTTACACCACTAGAATATTTTGCTGTTCAGAACTCCTGAAGTATCTTCATTGTTATAATTATTTAGTGAAATTTTATACCTCTCGATGTGCATCAAGGTTCTTTGAAGTTCTCAGAAAGGTCTTATAAAGAGATGAAGTTCTTACCCCATAAAAGTATTTTAAAATTACATATTTAAAGGAATTTGGGTTCATTTCAATCTAAGCATAGATATCAATGTTTATTAACATGATATGAAGTAAGATTTTTCATGGTGTTTTGCAATGATAGGAAAATCGTTATTGTACAATGATCGAAATGAATAAAAGAAATTAATGTACCCTATGCATGTATGATAAAATTTTGCAATTTCTTCAAAAGCTTGAATAACTAAATTTTTAATTCTAAAATGTGTCTGTTGATCAAATGAATTGGAAAAATATTCTAGGTGTTTTTATTCGCATTTTGGAAATTTTATTTCAGATTGATTAACTAATTTTCCATATGTAATATGATGATTAACTTTAAAAATTGAAGTTTGAATAATTGTTGTGGGTATTAACACGTTACATTTTTGTGTCATGTGAGGATTTTCATTTATTTATTGTCTTATTTTCAGAACCTTAGGATCGGAGTATCTTAAGAAGATTTATGAAGAAGTATTTAGCGATCTGGCAATTCTTGGACTAATAAGATAGAGTCTGAAAATTGCAGGGTAATATTTTATTTGCAAGGCTAAATACTACAAAAATAGATTACTCTGAAGTACTTTTATCAAAAAAAAGAGTTCATTTTTCTTATAGATTCTCTAATGATTTCAGTTTGTTAGAACATATTTTTTTGTCGACGAATGTTAAATGATTCACACACGATAAATATTTACGGCATTAAAATCACTGCACACACAACAAATGTTCCAATCCCTATTCATTTTCAAAAAGACAGGTCGATAGATGTTTTCTATAATTTTTAGGAGTTCACCAGCACTTGACAGTACATGAATATTGTTACTTTTCCTGGCAGCAACAACAATGTTCCCAGAATAGTCTTTATCGAGTTCACGGGGTTCTTTCATGTTGAAACTTTCATATCTCCAGACAATATCTCCCTGTTCTGTCATGGCTGTTACTGCATGAAGAAACCAGTTACTGTACACTATCAATCCATTATTTGCTATAAGTATGAAAACATTATTTCCGCCTTTGGTTTCAAATTCCTTTATTTTTCTTCCAGAAAAGTCTGTTTTAATTATTTTTGTTGCACATGCTACATAAAACGCCTTATTCCAGATTTGTATTCCATAAACTCGTTCATTCATCGGAATTGATCGGAGTTTAAGAAAACTTGAGGCAGAAAACACTTCAATAGATTTTGAAACTTCGCAAGTCACAAAAAGTTCCCCTCCCTTTTGTATCACTTTGAAGGGTTTTTTTAGCCCGACAATAACTTTACTTTCAGCCCAATTTTTATCATATATTAAACATTTACCATCGTCACTGTGTTTAATTACCGCAAAAGTGTCATTTGCCAGAAAAGATCCAGTACAAATGTTGTAATTGTCTTTAATGCTAATCTCAGGATCATTTGGCAATACCATGGTTCTAAAATCCAATATCACGCCATGTTCTGACTCCGAGTATTCAATATATGTAAGCGACTCCATATCTTTTATTTCTTTCATTATATGCTCTTCTTTTGCCGATATTTTTATGCATTTCTTGGTAAACTCAAACTGTTTCAATCGTAAAGTTGTTTCTCTTGCAATACAACAATTCATTAAAATTTCTCTTTCATTCTCTGTTTATCTGGCTTTTTCAATATTTCGACTGCAGTAATTAGCACAATTAATTCCGTCTTTTAATGTGTTTGTAACCCGGTCCATTTCTTCCCTACCTCTCTTTTGTGCAACAGCAATTTCATCAAGATGTTTGTTTTTCAACTTTTCAATGTGCTCAAGAAGTTCCTTAAAATTAATCTCACTTTGCTTTGTCATTTCATCTACGGAATCATCTAGCTCTGTAGTATTCTTTTTCTGTTCTTGCATGGCATCTGCCAATCTGTTCTCTATATGTCTAACTTCAATTGACAGAACATCCAGTTTGCCGCCCTCTTTAATATTTAAAGCTGCATTCTGTATAGTATCGACACTATCGCACTTCCTATGCGTTGTTCCCGTGCATAATATACAACACGGTTGATCATGCTCACTACAAAATAATTTTATAACCTCGTTGTGTTCTGGACATCTAAAATATTTTCCGAATTCGTGAGTTATTTTTTTAGACTCTACTTCCTTTAGTTGAATTATGATATGGTCTTTGGAAGGCAAATGCTTTCTGTGATGTTTAGTGCAAACTGTGCATAAGTATTCATTGCAAGAAAGACAAATGTCAGATGCATTTTCAGTTTCATTATCTCGTTGACAAGCTGCACACAGCCGTTTTTCTGGTGTTTCAAGTATTTTATCTAAAACATAATTCACCGGAAAATTCGCAGCCCACTCCTCTGGTTTATCAAAGGCGCCATTACGCGGAACATACTCAAGACACAAAGGACAATTAAATCCCAAACGAGGCTCCGTAGATTTACAAATGCTATCGATATATGAAGTTAAACATTTGTGACAAAAGGAATGCATACACGGTAGACATCGTGGTGTTTTAAACTTCTCCACACAAATTGAACACAGAGTAACGTCCTCCACAACCCTTTCTGTAGAAGACGTGGCCATTTTGATGAAAAGAAACCCACTCTTTTCCTTCCGCCTTGTACCGGAAACATAGATATATTTTGGGACGAAAACCCCTTTTTGTAATACCTTTACAGACATGTATAATTAGACACCCCCACACACTACTTTTTTTTTATAAAAAAGAGTTCAGGGAAAGTCATGTTCACCCTAGACCCGTTATTCCTACAATAAATTAAAACATATATTGTAGTGTTTGAGTGAAAACAAAATTTGATACTGATTGCAGTAGTACCTCCCTCTCCCCCCCCCCCTCCCCTTTCCGAAATAGGATTTTGGACACTTTTACATTTTCTTCTGGCTGCCTTCCCTCCTAATCATCCTAAATTTCAAAAACGATGCTTAATTAATTAATTAAACGGGAGTATTCAGTTTTCCTAATAATCCGAAAATGTACAGTTTCAAAAGGAACTTAAATATGGCTAACAAATCCATGAAAACGTTCTATAACGTTCCTTTGATAAAATTATGTTATATTTTCATGTGCACAAAGAATATAATCTCTCGTTTTTAATAAAGCCAGCAGATCACTCTAACTTTCAGCAAACATCATTAAGTTACATGTATATCAATTAACAAGTGCACATAAGTTGAGTTGACCTTTCCATCTCATAGGAAAACTAAGCCCTGGTTGTAAAATTAACGAGGAATGAATGCTATTTTTTCATTTTAATAATTGTTTTTTTTTTTTTTATATTTTACCTATAGCAAACATATAAATGATATTTATATTTCTAACAAAAGAGTGCTTTAAAACTACCTAGTATTAAATACATGAAATTTATTATTATAATTGAAAAGTTTAAATTATCAATATTTGATATATTTTATTCTGTAAACTTCCTGTAAGTAATTTTCTGATGCTTAAATGAACTACCTTTGTTTATTTATATTTTTTGTTGATATGTAGCTCATATGATATCGTTTTCTTAACACACAGTTGTGACGTATGGATTTGAGTGATGAAGCAAAATAAAGTGGAGTTCTATATTAAAAATTCGGTGTTAAACATTGAGTCTGGTGTATAAAACATGGGATAAAAAAAATCTCAAATGTTTAGTAGTTAGATATGATTTTCATCCTACTGCAAATTTTGTTAGATCCTATATTTATCAAAGATTTACATCATTGATATGTAATTTACGATATAATTAGGTTCTGAACCTTCAAAAAAGTTTTTGAGTTAAGTTTCATAGTAAATAAAAGATAAAATCTTGTTTTCACTAGAGATCACTGCAGTAATTAATTTTTTGTTAGGGGTAGTTAAGTTCCAGGGCCATTACAGAAACATTGTAAAAACTTCCTTCTTTTGTCATATTATAACAATACACATTTTTCACAATAAATTTAAATAGTTTGAGTCAAAATATTTGATTATGTCTTAATCATGTTAATAGTTATCAATATTATCAAAAGTTAAAATTTCGGCGTGGAGTAAAATCAAATTTGAGTAGGTCCATCGTAAATAAACTTTGTAAAATGTATTATATTACGATAATATCGAACATTTAATTTTGAGTTATTTTCTTGACGATGTTTTCGAAATTGCTATGTTAGTGTGCTGAATGATGAGAAATATGTTGATTTTAAAAATGAGTAACACAAATTCCATTTTGTCAACAGAAATAAATTGAAACTACACAACGTAAAACTTTTAAAGCTCCAGCTTTGAGAGTGAGCGATATTCATAGCCTCACTTTAGATGAAAGTCACTTTAGAATAGAGAGGAAAGGGATAAAAATGTTACCAAATATGGAATTCCTGGCAAAGACTCAAACCATAAATAGACCATGTTACTCTAAGAAAACAAAATCGATGCACATGAAGAAATTGAGCATTATCTATTTTTGTCACGTCCAGACGGTATCGTCCTGATAACAATATGAACAAACCAGGAACTGTACAAAAGCTTTGCTATCCACTCTATTTATCACCATTTTCCTTTTTTAACATCTCTCTCTCTCTCTCTCTCTCTCTCTCTCTCTCTCTCTCTCTCTCTCTCGCACACACACACTCACCCTCACACACACACCCTCACACTCACACACACACACACATTTAAGCAATTACGTAAACTTTTATGTACCTGTCAATACACACGCTTTGGTTTAGAGTAATTTTAATTGTAATTAGGGCTATAATTTTTTTGGATAATGATAATGATTCTTTATATCATTTTATAATAAAAACGGAACTCGTAATGTACTTACATTGTCATTAGGGATTTGAAAAATTATTTTGTTGAAAAAACATTCTGATTGTACACACAAGTATTTTGAAGTTGACATCAACAAGATGCTGGGATTTCTGATTTCCAATATCTATGTGGTTTTTGGAGACCAGATCTTGCAACAATTATTGGAATTCCAATGCGTACAAACTGCGCCCCGATATTAGCAGGCCTAATTTGTATTCATATGAAGCAGAATTTGTGTAAAATTTTATGTGTGAAAAGAAGAAATCATTTACTGTGGTCTGCAACTCGACATTTAGATAAATAGACGACGCATTGTCAATATAAAATGGTAATTTTCCTCCTAAGTCGATACGATGTATCCTGGTGAGTTGATTTTTTTATTTAAATTCCACAATACTTTAATGCAAATATATGAGATAACACAATATTTCATTGCAGCATTCATTTTTAAAGAGAGAGGGAGAGAGAGAGAGATGATGTTAAAAAAGAAAAATGGGTGATAAATAAAGTAGATAGCAAAACTAGTTTTAAGACAGGGTTTTTTGCTTTTTGTCTGAAAGTATATGGAGTGCCATTTTTGCGTTTTCGTTAAACTAATCTATTTTATCACTTTTCTGGCTGTATATTTCAATGATTTATTAAAAAAAATTGAATTCATTCAAAAAACAATGGATAGAGAGGCTGGGGTGTTGACAACAACCTCTGTAAATATATTGCTTCATTGACATAAGAAAAATATTCCAAGATTTTGATGATATTGTATTACTTTTATCTCCAAATATAAGAGGTTTACAATCTAGATTTAAGGTAGATCGAGGGTTTGCTCACGTCACAATAAGATTTGACGTAAAAAGCTTACCGCGTTCAGATAAGCAAGCAAAAAATATCTTTAGCAGTATGCAGTAAAATTTAAAGCTTGCCTAGGGTAATTTAAATATATTTTGTATGTAATTGAGAGTAAATGATGTTTTGATCAAGGCGGTCTTTTACATTATAAGTAGTTTTTAACGCTGCTATCTTCTGTGTGTACGTACATGTACCTTTCTGATCAATATTTGTTATGTGTACGTAACTTTCTAAAATTGTATTGCCTGATTGTTAATACAATACAAAGACAGATCCACTGCCGGTTTGTCTAACGCCTGACCTGCAGTTTAGTATTTTTGTTCACTTTTATGAATTTTGTTTTGTTTGTTTAATTTAGCCTACATACTAATTAACTTTATTTTTGTTTCTTTTAAACAAAAATCATCTCTAACTCAATATACAAGGTATCCATTTTCTTCGTGACGATGCACGCCTTTTACGTATACGACATTAGGATTGGTAATTTTTTATGTGCAACAATATTGTCCTTACTACAGGTATAAGATTTTTAAAACGAGAAAGAAATGGACAGTATATGATACGTAACTATGCTTAATATGAACTTTCATTTGTGCATGACATTTCTCTTACTGATGTTTTTTTTTAGGGGGGGGGGGGGGGGGTAAATTAGATAATAATCAACAGGAGAGACGTTATTGAATTCGGTTATATCGTCAAATAAAATATCTGCGTCCTATAAATTGTTATTCATTAACTCAGACCCTTTTACGAGGGTTGTCCCGTAAAATCATGGACAAAGCGTTTTTCTCGAAAAGTAATTGGCGCACTAAGCTGAAAATTTCAGTAAATGTTTCTTTATCAAATTAAAATGCATTATAATTTTTTTTTTGGATAAAATATAGGCAAAAATAAAGATCTTATTATGCTTGAATGTGCACGAGGTGTTGTCCTACGGCGCACGGACAAAAACACCAAGGTTTTATTAAAGAATACTCAAGTTTGAATTCAAAATAAAAGTTTTAAATATATTAAGATTTGTATTCAAATTACCCTAGTTCAATTCCACAATCAATTCTGTAGTCTTTGAAAAAATTTTAAGGCATTTTGTTAATTTTTGGCAGTTTCTTGAGCATTCGAAATGGGAAAGTGGTAAACACAACACACGAAGAATGGCGACGTTTTATGACGTTACGGCGCACCGGAGAGCAGTTCCGTTTTAATTCGATGTTGTAATGACACCTTTGGAGACTTAAAATGACCATAGAAGAAAAAAGATTAATCACCATATCTTAAGTATACAAATGAAATAGGAGTTTTCTTAGCAAAGTCTTTTTTGATCGAGTCCCTGGAGAGTACAAAACATACGAACAAACTCGTAATTATGTAATAGCAAAAGACGATGTCACAGTTGAGATTTTCTATTAGTTGAATGATGGTGAGAATATTGTCCGTATCTTACTGATAAATCTTCAGAGGATCGCATGAGGGTGCCAAATGGTTCTTCGACTGTTTATGGAGACTAAAGAATGTGTATCAATGAAATTTCTAAATTTAAGTCGGACTCATCCAACTTCATTTTCAGCAAAGATAAAACGTGATGCTGTTTTAGACACTTTGACGATATAATCCATGCGCCGTAAGGTGATACAATGCATGGCATGAAATCACATAATTTGTTTATTTATGCATATATTTACCTGAAATTTACTGTATATTCTACTAAAATATGTACTAAATAATAGTGAAAATTTCAGAACGAATTAGGTCAATTGGAGACATATGCATATTCTATTTGAACAGTAAAACAGTTACCGAGTCCACCTTTATTGTTGATTAATCCCCCATACAGAAAGTGGTTCTAAGGGAAAAAAAACTTCCAAGTAATTTATATAAAGGTGATAAGTTGTTAGTACTTTTCTCTAGAGTCATTTTCTGCCTATGTTTAATAAATGTTATCAATACTATTTCTACAAGATAATGCTTACAATTGTTAGGTAAAAAGCAAAGTTATCATAAGTGTCAATTCAAATAAGTTTAAAATTTCCCACGAACCATACATGGAAAACAAGAAGTATAATTTTTTTTCAATTGTCTATGGAACATATATCGTGCATACAAATAATTTACAACGACATGAAAAAATGACACAGGACAGACAGACATTTAATAACGGTCACAATAGAATTCCACAGAATCAATCTATTAACTATTAAATTTATATCACTTTGTTCCGTATATCGTTGCCTGTTTCATTTTCAACATGAGAACAATTTTACAAATCCATCTCAAGTATTAAACCTTAATACGACGCGACCTCGTATGACAGTATTTCTATGATGAATAGTGTTTTCCCTATAACAATCTAGTGCTTACATTTTTCTCACAATCTCAGTTTTCAAACTTGAAAAGAATCAAATGCAGGGGCGTAGCAACAGGGGGGCCGGGGGGCCTGGCCCCCCTTTTTTTCCCAACCTTACTTATACTATAGGAAATGTTAATTGAAAGCCTGGTTGGTCCCAAACTCTTAGTGATGTACCGAAAATGTAGCATTAGAATTGGTACTGAAAGTACTTGACAGTGAGAAAAAATAATTTTCCTAACCCCACCCCCACGAAATAGGATTTTCCACTTTGGCAACTTTTTTCGTTCCTTTTTTTTTTTTTTTTTTTTTTTTTTTTGCTTGTCAACTTTTTCAGGTGAGTAAAAAATTAAAGTTTTTCTGCTCCCCCACTTTCAAAAACGATGCTACGAGCCTGACATTTTATACACCTTTACAATTTTATAGTCACTGCACACACAGCAAACGTTTCTTTCTTCACTTATTTTCATAAAGACAGGTTTAGGAATACCTTCAAAAGTCTTAAGAAGTTCTCCAGCACTAGACAAGACATGAATATTATTACTGCTTCTTGCAGCAACCAAAATGTTGCCATAAGAATCTTTTTCAAGTCCCCTTGGTTCTCTCATGTTCGGATTTTCATACGTCCATGCGATGTCTCCCTGATCTGTAATTGCTGTCACTAAATGAAGTTTCCAGTTACTGTATATTATCAGTCCATCTTTTGTGACAACTACGCAAATATTATTTTGACCTTCGGCTTCATACTCTTTGATCTTTTTCCCATCAACATCAGTTTTAATGATTTTCGTTACACATGCTATGTAAAATTCTCCATTAAGACTTGATATACCATAAACAGACTCGTTCATCGGAATAGAACGCACTTTGTCAAAATTCAAAGCAGAAAATACTTCAATAGACCTTGTTTCAGTACATGTCACAAAAAGTTCATCTTTATTTTGGATCACACCAAAGGGATTACTTAGTCCACCTATATCTTTCAAGTGATCCCAAGTTTTTCCATATATGGAGCACTTTCCATCAGTTCTAAAGTCTGCGATTGCAAAGTTACCATCTGACAGAAAAGTTCCACAATGTACAACATCTCCAGCAATTCTAACTTCTGAGAGAAAAGATAGTTTCATGGTTCTTACGTTAAACAAAAAAAGACTATGCTCTGACTCATGATACTCAACATCACCAAGAGATGTTACATCCAATATTTGTTTTAGAACTGATGCGTTCTTTTCAAAGATCTCAATGTTCTTCTTTGTAAAGTGAAAATGTCGCATTTTTGAAATATTTTGCTTCGTTTTAAAATAGTTCACAATCATTGCTGCATTGTCCTTCATATCTCTGGTCTTCTCAATAATTTCACAATAGTATTTTGCACACTGAATACCATCTGTGATTGAATTTGTGGTTTTGTTAATATTTTCTTTGCCTTTTTTGACAGCGACTGCAACATCTTCTAAATATTTATTTTTCATTTTTTCTATGTGATCCACAATGTCCTTGAATTCTTTTTCATTACGTTCAGTAACTTTGTCGGCAAAGTCTTCTAGTTCTTTTGTGTTTTTATCATGAGCATTCTTACCTTCCATTAATTTTTTTTCAATGTCTCTAGCCTCATCTAACATAGTATCCAGTTTGCCATTTTCTCTGATAGACGCAGCAGAAACTTCAATGGAGTCTACGTTTTCACATTTCTTGTGTTTCGTCCCAATGCACATTAGGCAGCATGGCTCCTCGTGGTCATTACAGAACAATTTGATCTTTTTATTGTGTTCGGGACATCTGATATTTTTTTCGAATTCTGGGAGTATATTTCTCGATTTCACCTCGTCCATGCTGCATATTGTATGGTCTCTTGAAAGTAAATGTCTCTTGTGATATTTTGTGCACATTATGCATAAATATTCAGTACAAGAAAGACAAAAGCCCGTTGCATTCTCGGATTCATTATCTCGTAAACAGGAATCACAGAGCCTTTCATCAGACTTTAAAACAATTTTCTCTAAAACATCATTTACCGGAAAACTCCCAGCCCATTCTTCTGGTTTTTCAATAACGCCATTACTTGGAGTGTACTCTCGACACAATGGACAGTTAAAGCCAAAACGTGGTTCTGTAGATGTACACAAGCTCACAATATAGGACGATAAACATCCATGACAAAATGAATGACTACACGGCAGATACCTTGGTGTTTTAAATTTCTCGAAACAAATTGAACACAATGTAATGTCCCCAACAGTATTCTCTGTTAATGAGGTCGCCATCGTGTGGATATAACTTCATCTACCAATGGCGTACGAGTTTGTTCACGATAATTAAAGAATTAGTATGGGATCCTGTGCGTATCATAACTTTTCGTTCCTCACTCAAAGTGGAAAATATAAAATTTGGTCTGTCCGTCCGTCGTCTGCTAAATTCTTTACAATGACATATTATACAACTTTCTATGGTCGAAGAAAAGCCCCTATATAATTTAAGGCCAAACGGTCAAAGAACAGTCGCAACGCAGCACAGTTAAGGTTACAGTAAGGAGGCGGAGCCTAATGTTTACTATGACGTCACACAAAATATAAGGTCTTCAAAATACCACATAATGAAATTATTTGCTATTTCAAACTGCTGGATAGTTGTATACTAAATAAAAACTTACTATTACATGTAGTTATGTTGTTTGTTAAATCCCACACAACAGTATATAAACGATGCATCGATCGCAATGCACTTAACAATTTGACGTCAACCCGCTAAAATGACGCAGTTTTTACCCAATTAGAGGCTATCACGTCAAATCTTGTACAAGTAGAAATGTCTTTAGTTATCAAATCAAATATTATTTGCAATTAAATAAAAGGCCGTTAACCTGGTTGCGATGTCTTTTTTACCATTTTATTAATAAACTGTCCATATATTCTCCGGACAAGTGATACTGTTGGTTGTTTGTATGCAGATTCATTGAAAAACAAGCTAATTCAGAGAATTCGTGTCCCCCGCTTAGGGAAAAAGTCGGCTCCCCCTGACTGAATTTGTAGAATTATTAAATGTATACATGTATACAGAAGGAAATAAAATACATGTATGTCAATATGCATATAAAGATTTGATTGCTTATTCTTTATTATGTGTATAGAAGATTTTTTTATATGGAATATTTATCACACTGTAATGATGATTTTATAACCTCATAAATTTTTCATTTCACATGCTGAATACTATCATTTAGTAAAAAAAAAAGTATTTAAAAAAAAAAAAGAAAGGTTCGACCGAGATTCGATCCCGGTACCTCTCACACTTGAAGCGAGAGACATAACCACTAGACCAAGGAGGCGCTTTAACTGGAGTGAAGTATATGCAGAACTGAAGTCACATACATGTATATATTCATGTTTTCATGTTCGGTATTCTCAAAATTTTACACAATCCATGGTGTTTGATTTATTTAGCCTTTATTAAACAGTTCTAATAGATGTAATAAGAACATAAAGTCCGCCGAGAACCTGTTTTATACGCAATAACTCTCCTCATGCCCCTGTGCTAAAAATAGCGACATGTAATACTATAAATACTAATAAAACAAACGGGGCGGGGCACTTTGAGAGGGGCGAGAGACGTCCTAGGGAGTTTTGGTATAAAATTACATTGCATAAGCTCAAAATCTTCTTGAAATATCGCCCGGAAATGATAGTGTTACACAAAGACAGAATGTATAAATTTACGACCTTGAACTTTGACCTTTTGACCTCAAAATCAATAGGGGTCTTCTTTAGGCCACAGGGAGTTGTTATGTAAAATTTCATTGCAATAGCTCAAATGGTTCTAGAGATATCGTGTGGAAACGAAAGTGTTTTAACAGACAGAATTTGCTTATTTATGACCTTGACCTTTGACCTTTTGACCTCAAAATCAATAGGGGTCTTCTTTAGTCCATAGGGAGTTGCTATGCTAAATTTCATTGCAAAAGCTCAAAGGGTTCTCGAGACATCGTGTGGAAACGAAAGCGTTACAGACAGACAGAAAGACGGACGGACGGACGGACGGACGGACGGACGGACGGACAAACCCAAATTAATATCCCCCACTTTTCAAGCGGGGGACAATTAATAGAAGGGCCCTAAAAAATTGATTTATTGCAAGGGTATACCTACAATGTTTCTTGTCAAGTTTTTACACATAAACTAAAGAAGCATTAAGATTTCTGAAAAGTGCTGCAAACCTCATGAAATCTTGCAAATAAATTAATTATAGCTATATATTAATGTAGCTGACCAGCAAAATATATAACCTTCCGTCCAACAAATTAGATTTTAGCAATTAAAAATGGTCATCTGTTTAGGTTCGCAGCACTTTTCACAAACTACATATAGTGTTGAAATGATTTTAAATTAAACTAAGATTTGGTTATGCCCTTGCAATATTGGAATTATAGATGACCTCTAAACTGCACGTATAATTGCTAAAATCGTGTGACTTATGTCACGTGACAAGTCTAAATAAAAAAAAAATCTAAATGTCCTCAACATGAAGTTTTAAACCACATTACATTTTTTTAGGGATAGCAATCGATTGCAGCACAGGAGTTCGAGTACCTATCAATTATACCAAAATTTTCATTAAATAATAAGAGACCCATGGGCCACATCGCTCACCTGAGAAGCATTGAACATTCTGTTCTTTACTAGATTTCCCCCTTGTAATACATAATGCATCCCCACCCTACCCCACTGATCATAATTTAGACATTTTGAAATCTACACTACCCCATGATCCTTCCATGTGCACATAAGTTTCAGCTTGTAACACAATTGGACTATACCGTACATATAAATAAACTATATAATAACTTTTTAATATTTGTTGTGTTTTGTATATTTGGTTAATAAGGACATATGTGTATAAGGCATAATAATCCTTATATGTCCTTGAGAGCCATTTGGGTTCTTATGTAATCTATTTCTATTTACTGATAATGTGTTTAATGTAGTCAAAACTGGTGTAAATATTAATGTGAAATATTATGGGTCAGCTTTGATGAAATATCATAATTGAACGAAGTGGTCAGTATCCCTTATTGGTATCTAAATAATTCAATGTATTGGAAAATTACTTGATAACATTAATTGACCACATTCAGAATTGTTATTGAATACTTGATTAAATCTGCAAGAAAATCGATCGAAGCAATTTCATAAATGACTTAGAAGCTTTCCAATAATTAATTATTAAACCAGGATTTGACGATTGGAAATATGAAGATATATATATTCGGAGACTGGACGGGCGGAGGACAGGTCTAGAGAGAGAACAAGAACTTTATACAAACGTTTCACACGTACCACTATACGAACTTTGTGCCCCCCTGTACTAGTTATGTGTTTGGCTTCCAGTGGATATACCAAGTACTAACTCTGATATAAGAACTGTAACTGTGCTGACAACATTGTTCTAACTGTATATGCATGACGTCTATATTGTGCAACAGTGACATAATAAATATATTATATAACCAAATAAAAAGCATTGTGTTGTAGACGTTCATTTGGTGTCGTGACCAGGATTTAGATTCGAACGGGTGACTATTGGTTTGAAATCTGTAATTCAATTTAATGCTTGTGACCAGGAATAACGAAATCTCCATGTTTATGCCAATGACTAAAGCCATGTCAAGTATAACTAAAATGTCGAACGCGGAGGGAAAATGTGGCAAGGTAGGACGTAGCTTTCTGACCCAGAAGTATCTGTAGCCTGACCAAGTCTTGATGTAAAAAAAAATGCTTTTCAATAATAGGTTTGGCTTATTGTTTTGAGTTCTTTTAAAGGATAATTCTGACTTATAAAGCAAATGGTTTTAAAAATAAAGAAAACTTTGAAATTTTATTCAAAGAAATACTTTCATCACATAGTGTGCATTCCTTTCTACTAAAAATAAAATTATGTATTTGACTGTTTCAAAGGATTGAGATTAAAAAAAATTCATCATTATCTTGAAAATGAAATTCTAAACACAAGGAATGCATTTAATCCTATTGTACATATGTAGTGATCATAACTGATGATAGTTCGCTTCTTATCAATGTTGTTTTTTCTTAAAAAAAGAGAAAATATTAGGCAACATCTTGTAATGAACAGGCAAGAGAAAATGGTTATGAAGTTCACGTCAGATTTATTGTCACATTTTTTTTTAATCTTGAATTTGAATATTGACTAGATTTGTTTTGAAGTTATAATAAAAATTTTGACAAAAGTGCAACACTAAATCAAACATACATTGGGGTTTATTGTGGACTAAATTTGAGGCATATGACGTTGGTCTGATACCAAGGACGATGAATAACGTCTGACCCAGTGTTCATGGGCCGTCGTAAGTGTTTGTACTAATTCTGACTTCAATTCGCTGCGAGGATGCGATTGTAAAAGAGGATAGCACCGTGTTTATGTTTTAAAAGAATATTGACTGTAAATATCACAATTCGTGAAAATGAGGAACACGACAGGTGATAGCAGTCCTTTGAAGATACTTACAGATGAAAAAAATGTTGGACACTAATGATATTTACTGATTTGTGCTGTACTTTTGAACAAATTTACCGAAACTGAATACATGTAAGTCAATTTCAAATTCTGACGTTGGAGAACAAAAAGTCTATTAATTCGGACTTAACTTATGGACTCAAATTTAAACTCAAAGGTATGGGATCCGGATACACTGGTGACTTCTAATTTGAAGGGCGATGCTACCGCCTGGAGTGGTGATAATTGCACTCCGTCATCTATTAATCCTTAATCTCAAACTGGGAGTTGGCCAAATTGGGTTTATTCTATTTTAATAATCAGCATCGCTTTAATCCAGGGGTTTCTATTTATTATCTATTATAAATGTAAAAGGCGTTGGTCAAGTAGATTTTGGCAAAAGGTTAAGAAAGCAGGAAAGAAGGAACAACTGAAATTGGTGGCGATTAAATCCCCTAGTGAAGATAACACTAGCAGACACAGTATTGCATCTGCACCATCACCGACTACTGCTCTCATCGCTGGAGTTGACTCTGTCCGAAATTTTACCCGAAACTGAGGACGGATGTTCTTATAGTTAAAACTGACGACCCCGCTGCATTGTGAATGAACTCTTGTGTAAGTCGATCCCTCTTTCGAATAAGAGCCGAGGATCGTGAATATTGGACACTTTATTAATTTCGAGATTAATGTTTAATATATCCTGTATTACTGTGTTGTTCGTATCCAGGTGGAGGAAGACTTTATTGTCTCGTAAACTGTGTGCTGTAACTATTTAACCATTTCTTATATTACTTCTCGTTTAACATTATGTAACTTTAAAGACGAGGAAGAATTACATTATGCCGATACTTACAAACCAAGAAAAAAATCACAAGTTCAAATTCCAACGACTATGAATTAAACTAATTCATCTCTTGTGAGGGAGGAATGTAACACAATTGGACTATACCGTACATATAAATAAACTATATAATAACTTTTTAATATTTGTTGTGTTTTGTATATTTGATTAATAAGGACATATGTGTATAAGGCATAATAATCCTTATATGTCCTTGAGAGCCATTTGGGTTCTTATGTAATCTATTTCTATTTACTGATAATGTGTTTAATGTAGTCAATACTGGTGTAAATATTAATGTGAAATATTATGGGTCAGCTTTGATGAAATATCATAATTGAACGAAGTGGTCAGTATCACTTATTGGTATCTAAATAATTAAATTTATTATATGACTGAATAATATCCATCTCTCTGATTGGCTGAGATCCAACTATGTTAGAAAAATACTACGTTGTATTGACCTGCACGTGACGTTCCAGGTGAATACAAGGATTTATTTCCTCTACATTGATCTAAAAATAGATCGGGAAATTCCAAACTGACACAAATTGTTTTGGAAAGCTATTTAAACGGCTATGACTTTTTTAAAAAATATTTTCTGGTGAGTGTGGTAAGAGGGGATGCAGGAAACCCCCCTCCAACACTTTACTGAACAACAATTTTTACTTTTTGGCAGTCAGTTTTCCCAGATAATACTCCTTCCTTGCAAAATCTATCCTATATAAAAAAGACTGACATTATATATATTTTTTCATGACAACTGGTTTCTCTGTAAGATGTTTATTCCTTACTTAAGGCAATATTAACTGAGGGCAATGAAGTCTGCCAGTATTTAAAATACAAAACATATTTCTAATACTTCTGACTTTTGATTAATCAAATCATTTCAAATCAGTTAAAACATTAACTGAAAAAAAAACATATCCGTATTGTTGAGTTATAAAGCATTGTACCTCTGTTACAATGCACTTTGAAAAATTACGCACTATGAAAAAAATTTCAAAGTGCATTAAAATTTGGGACCAAGCTAACGCACTTTGAAAAAAATATTTTTTTTCAAAGTGCGTTAATATCGACCATATTAACGCACTTTGAAAAAAGTGTAAAGATTGATCAATGTTCCTTCAAATAATCGATATGATAAATGATCCTGGTTTGAAAACTTTTTTATGATAAAGTCACTGTAGGACCTGAGATATTGACGTTTTTAAATATTTAAGGCTTTGATAAAATAAAAGGGAAAATTAAAGGGTCTTGAAAAAAAGAATGACGATTGTTTATTAATTCGTTTTTTTTTTTGTTGTTTTTTTTTTATTCTAGTCTTTGATAAGTAGATGTAAAGGTGTAAAGCGGGCATTAACAGAGGACAGCTTCAAGCAACTTAGCATTTATCATAATAAAAAGGGGCCAATTTGATTTTTCAAAACTATAAAAATTCTTTCTCTCTCATGCGTTTTACTGTACTTAAAAATTTCTAGTTTTCATCTGTTTTAATTAACTCATTTATTATTGAATGTTTTCAACGTCATACCAGTTAGGTAAATATACATAATTATATAAATGCTTTGAGTATAGCATAGACATCGAGACTGGGCGAAGGGCCAGCGGAGGGGATGGGGGGCTAAGCCCCCCCACTTATTTTGGAAAGATATATACATCGTATAAGCATTGAAAATGCAGCGTACCCTTTTTAGGTTTATTGCTCCCCTCCCCCGTTTGTTACCGACACCTATGTATTGGAAAGATAAAAGATTTGGACTGAGGGATCTTATACCCGTCTTCTCCTCTTTTCGACGGGAGTAAATCAATTCATTTTTGAGGATAGGTTAGGCTTAGTTTTTTTGAAAGATAAATAACAAATAAAATCTTTCCATGACTAAAATATGATTTTTTTTTTCAAAGTGTGTTAAGTGTCTTCATGGTAAAATATATTGATGTAGACTCTTAACGACGTTCGATCCTGATATTTAAAGTCTTAAACTTTTTTTGCCAAGTATATTTCTAGTTTCTACATACATGGCTTAACTAAAATTCAAATCAAAAAATGGGGGTCAATATGCTTCTTTTAGCGCTACAGTACATTTAATATGACCTTTCTGCACTGAAATTTGTGTCTTAATTAAAAATTACATCTTCGACGTTTTCCCTCCAATAATTTTATCCAATTAAAGCATGAAACAAAATGAACTCTAAGTCTGTTTAAAAAAAGACACTCAAAAATTGTGACTGAGAAAAAGTTTCAAATTGCTTCGCATAATCAATTATTTGACCTTTCTGCACTAATAAAATGTTATTTTTCCGGCATTGAAAATATAATAAGCAAGAAAATTATTTTAAAGTCTTAAACTTTTTCTGATTTTAAGCAAATAGGTCAAAGTTATCTTGAATATTTAGAAAAAAACATCAAAAGTGGGGGTATATGATGTACATTTTCAGATATTACTAAAAAGTGAGAATTTTATGTTAAAATTGGCTCATTTTTTTCCCGGATTTTCAGAATATATTTACTATATTTGTCACACTTTGTTGATAGAATTCATAAGAAATAATTTAATAGATATTTCAGAACCAGCATAACATATTTCACTGCCAAAAACAGCTTTATGTGCAACCAGCATGGAAAAATATGCATCCTGAATTAACAGTATTGTTATAGTTCAAATGGAAAAAACTGATCATTTTCGTCTAATAAACCTTCCGCCACAAAATATAGTCCCTACCTTAATTCTACTTGAATGGAATTTAATCGCGGTTTTTTCATTGAATATAATTTAATTTGCATTGTAGAATTCTTTTTTATTTTTAGAACCTAAAAATGATGCTTAATTTTATGAATAAAAGACCTGCGCGAAATACGCTAAAATATCAGGATCGAACGTCCGTAACGCACTTTGAAAATTTTTTTCAAAGTGCATTGAGTTGGTCCCAAATTTAACGCACTTTGAAAAAAAAATTTCAAAGTGCGTCGATTTTGTCCTAATTTTAACGCACTTTGAAAATTTTTTTCAAAGAGCGTAATTTTTTCAAAGTGAGTTGCCACATACCTCTAACAAATGTAGTTTACCAAAAACAAAAAAAAACATAATCTCAAAAAATTGCTGATTATAGTCTCATTTTATTGAACATATGTTCAGAAAAAATTTAAAAGATAAACAACAATTCACATAATTTACCAAAAAAAATTATGTTCATAGATTAGATTTTTTTTATTTGTATTTGTACAAACTCAATTTAAAAAAATATTCCATTAATTGTACACTTTCTATGATTTATTGTACTATTTGCTTTAGTTTGAATACATCTGGGGTCCCTCAGGGCTCTGTCCTTGGTCCCATCCTTTTCCTCGCTTACATAAACGACTTGCTGGAGCATGTGAAGTCCCAGGTTAGACTTTTTGCAGATGATACTGTCATCTATATTACTATGGATGGACAGGGATGTCAGTCAATGCTCCAAGAGGACCTTAGGCAACTAGAGAACTGGGAGACCTTGTGGGACATGGAATTTAATCCAAGTAAGTGCCAGGTTATCCATGTAACGACATCCAGATACCCCATTTGTAATAACTATATACTTCATGGTCAGGTATTAGAGACTACATCATCAGCCCGGTATCTGGGTGTCGATATATCGGATAACTTGAACTGGAGCCAGCACATAAGTCGGGTCACAAACAAAGCCAACAGCTCCCTCGGCTTCCTACGCAGAAATATACCGACCAGGAACCAGCAGCTCCGGTCAGCAGCATACAAAGCAGTGGTACGTCCACAGCTTGAGTATGCTGCCAGCGTTTGGGACCCTCACTTGGTTACACTTATTAACCAAGTTGAGGCTGTTCAGCGCAGAGCTGCAAGGTGGGTGATGTCGGATTTTAGAAGAACATCAAGTGTCACAGATATGCTACAAACCCTATGTTGGCGAAGCTTGCAACAAAGGAGGGCAGATGCAAGGCTTGTACTTATGTACAAGATCGTGCATGGACTAGTAGCCATCCCCTCAGTTCAATTCATCCCCCCAAGTAGGACTACCCGATCATCTCATTCCCTCACCTTTCGTCAAATACAAACTACAAAAAATGTGTATAAATATTCCTTTTTCCCTCTTACTATAGTTCAGTGGAACAGACTGCCGGGCAGTGTTGTCTCGCTTCCAGATGTTGAACATTTCAAACTGGAAGTGAGCAAACTGAATCACCCCAGACCTTAATCATATTATAGTGTTTTTACATCTTTTAATTGTGAATACTGTTTTTCTTAACTTTTTATCTTCACTAAAAATTTAATACTGTTCCCTTTTCACCACTTTGAAATTTACTTTTCTATACTTTTTTTTTACATCTTTTAATTAGCTGCGCACCCTACTCAGAGTACTCAAAACTTGAGGGCGAGTAGTATCGAGAGATAGATATAGCAATACTGAAACATATACATAATACTTAAACAATATTTATGAAAAGATTATTCAACGATGAACTTTTCTTGAATTTTGAATAAATTTTTTACAATCATGAGTAGATCCTTTGTTTTGGTCAAAAATGATCTGCAGCATTAAAATTTACAAAGAATTCAGTTAGATTGATCTTTAATTGAATCAAAACCATGTTGAAACCGAATAAAGTCTGGGCGGGAAAAATAGCTTATAACCTTATGACAAAACTGTGCAAATGATCTTTATATATGAACATTGAAAATACAATGAGAACAATATGGAAATAATAACAGTATGATGATTATGACTTTTGAATTTGAAAAACCTACAATATACAATGAACATTATTGATATCAAAGGTTTCCACACATGCCACATAATACAAAATAAGTTTTTATCATTTGCTTACACAAAAACACAACAAAAAAATGCATTCAACAGACAAAGATATAAAGAAATATATCCATCAACACATACATGTACATATACCATAGCCATAGTTCAGGAATTATTCAAACACCCTTTGTCTGTAGGTCCCTGATTACATCCCTTTGCACCATGTACATGTATATCCTTGCTTATATCCCTGTGCATCTTGTCAATATTTTTCCTTTTGCACCTTTCATTAAATCAATTTATCCGTAGTTACTCCCCCTTCCACATTGTCCTTATAGATAAATTAATCCCTGGTTACTTCCCCTTGCGGCCTTTCTTTGTTTTAGTGCTGGCTTGCTGTTGTGCTGGTGCAGGCTGTGATGAGGCGGCCTGGATCCTCGTTTTCAGTTTGGGAATTTTTTCACATATAACTTCCATAATTGCTTTTCCTAAAAAAGGAAAAGCCAGCTTTTTGAATGACCCAGTGAAAATCTAAATTTTTGTTATATGTAAAGGTCTTACATTTTAATGTGGACGCTCTCTAGTTTCTAAGATCTAGTTATCAACAAAATTAATAATAAATGCAGGGAATTTACATTACAACTTCGGTCCAAAACAAATTTTAAAAGGTCATTATGAAGAACACATCTGAAAGCCAGAGTTCCAAACATTACTGATTAATATGAGATTAATGAGTCTTACTTGTTTTGTACTCTGGATTTAGATATCCTCCATTTTCATCTTTGAACTGGATTCTGATACGACCTCGGACTTTTGGGTCTCGGTGATCAAGCTCTCGGGAATAAACTTTATTCTGAAAAATTAAATAAGAGCATAAATTGTAACAATGGTAAAAAGAGATTCATTTTCATGTTTTTCTTTTATGAGGGGGTATAAAATCTTATGTTATTGCATGTACATTTTTTTTACGACCTACAAATTTCAGTCTTGGACACACAGATCTTCAAAACAATTGAAATAATAAATTAAATATTTCATACCTCAATTCCTATATTGAAGCCTGTTGCTAGAAGAACGTCTTTAATTTCATTATATGTTGGATTATCAACGCACTGCAAAAGAAAAACAAACAAATAACAAATGTTGACTGAATAAACACAAAAATCATAATATCCTTTCCTTTTCATTCACAGTTCTTCAATTTTGATTTTTTAGGGGAGAATAAGTTAAGTTTATGCAGGGTCTTTATATTTATCATAATCTATGAATATTATTGTCATGAATCAACTGTGTAATTACTAGTAAAGCATGTTGTAAACAGGTTTCTATGTCATGCAATAATTTTTTTTCATAATTCAAATTCATTACAAATATGATGATGTAGAAATAGAGTGTATCTCTTAACTGTAAACAGCAAAACTCATTTAGTATGAACACGGACATTGTGAATTCATGGAAATAGAGAAGTCATCTTGGATCCCCAGCTATATGAATTTAACTAATATCTTATACAGATATAACAAATTATGGATATAGTGAAGTAATTTCATAGGTCTCAGTGATTTCATTATAACCAAGTTTTACTGTACTAGCTTTATGCAGCTGTTACTTCTGATTAAAGTTTGTCTTTAAACACAGAAGACTCAATATTTTTTTTTTCTTAATTCAAAATCTGCCATTTTTATTTTTAAAATTCAGAACAATCTGTAATGTTCATCATGTTCATAGTAGATCATCTGCCAATGTTTATTTTAACTATCTCTTATTGTCAAGAGATACTGTAAGTTGATCAATATGCACACAGGTGCGCCTTGAAATTGATCTATAAATCTGATTTTAAAAAAGTATCAAGAAATTGATGACATCTTCTGATATATAAATTCAACAAATCCAATAAAATAGAGATTTAAAGAGGCTTGGTGGTCGTGGCCATTTTTAGACTAATTCGAACTCTTTTAGAAGAAGAGCTTCTTATGAAGATATACAAAAATGATCACATTTTAAAACTAAAATGTATGAAATTTTTCTTTGTCAAATGATAGTTGACGGGTAAAGATATCATATCTTTAGATTTAAGTTATATCTGGTGGTTAAATTCTTGTTAATTTGTTGACCCCCCAGCCTCCTTAAGCAGATTTTACACACAACAAAATATAAACAAAGCTCTCAGTCCACTCTTTGGTATACAGAAGAGAGTCACTCAGGTGAGAGTCAATTGCTCTGTTTGTATACATACTTTGTCTTTTGGGAGTCTTCTACCCTCCGTCACTGTTTTACGGCTGTTGATATATGCTGGGTAGATACACAGCCATCTGAAAGAAAAATTATATTATCATACATCATTATAATTATACTACACAAGCTTTATCAGATTGGTTCTTGATTTCACGTGATCTGGCCATAAAAGTCCATATTTCTCAGTCATCATTAAGCTTTACATCATATTCCACCTCTTTGGATACCTACATGTAGTGCATTTTCCTCCAATAGTTATCTATTTGTAAAAGAAAACTCTCAAGAGTAGCTGAAGTCACAATAGCATAGTTTATGACACAAAATTTCTGATTAGTGATGTGTCAAAAGGTTTCAGTAAATTGTTTAAAATGAAAAGGAATTTGAAAGCAGTGCCGATTTTGAATGTTTATGTTTATTTAAGTTTTTTCTGCTTGTTTTGGTATAATAAATAATTCTGTGAATGTTTGGGAAACATGAAGATTTATTAAGCCAAGCCCTCTGGGAATTTGATTTTTCTTGACTTAAGAAATCATCAATGTTTCCATCAAGACCATGCAATACCGTAAATGTATATTGTAAAGGCTTAACTATGTACCTTGATATGAAATAATACAAAAATTAAAACAAATCTCTTATGACTCTATCAAATAATTAAAGAAATGTACAATTCTTTCAATTCTTTTATCTATTAAAACTTATACTCATTTCCTCTTTTAGATGTCACAACCTTAAAAATGCAGAGTAAAAGGCACAGAACTTGTAGATAGAATTATAACAGAACTGACACTTTATAAAAAGCATTTCAACCCATTCAAGTAGGGCTGTCACGGGTACCCGAAATGACCCGAAACCGCGGAACAATTAATTTGGGTCGGGTCCGTTTCCGTTTTTCCGAAATTCAGTTCGGTTCCGATATGTATAATAGAGTAGATTTTACTATAAAAATTGCGTCAAAAACGAGACATTTATTAGTACGTTGTCATTATAAGGTAATTTTAAATAATTTGGTACAATTGTTGTCTAATCAGGAGGCTACTTTAAACTAGTTATAATGTTGCTATTTCTAAGATTAAATGAAAATATTCTTTTTATTGTTGAAAATAATACAATTCATGAGCTTTTCTTCCATTACCTACCCGACCCGAGAAACCCGAAACCGAACCTTAAAAAATCAGAACCAACCCGACCCGAAAAATTTTGGAACCATGACAGCCCTACATTCAAGACAGGTAGAACATGTAGAATGCCTTCTATATTCCTGCAGTGTGGAAAATTACATCAATACATTTAAAGACTTTTATTAGGATATATCTTTTGGTTTGGGATAGGATAAATATAGGATTAGGGCTGTCACGGGTACCCAAAATGACCCAGAACCTTGGAGCAATTAATTCACAAGTTCAGTTCTGTTTTTCCAGAATCCGGTTCGGTTCCAATTTGTACAATAGAGCAGGTTTTAACATAAAAATGGCACCTAAAATGATAAGTTCATTAGTATATTACCATTGAAGAGGGTAATGGTGTGAGTTTAATCATTTGGTTCAATTATTTTTCTAGTCAGGAAACTTCGTGAAACCAGTCATTTTGTTGCTGTATCCTAGATTTAAAAAAATATATATTTTTGTTGAACAGAATTCAAATCTTGAGTTTTTTTATTATAAATCCACACCGAAAAACCAGAAACCGAACCTTAAAAATTTAGAACCGACCCCACCCGAAATATTATGGAACCGTGACAGCTCTATATAGGATCTCCCATGATTTGTAGTTGCATGATTTTTATCCCATGAGTTGTGTGATTTTTATCCCTGAGCCTTGGCAAGGGGATAAAAACACACAACAAGTTGGATAAAAGTCATGTCCAAGTACAAATCATGGGAGATTCTTTTTATCCCATGTTTAATGTTTCACAACCGAAGTTATACACTTTTATATAACACTCCACTTTATTATACTTCATTCTGCTGATGCAAAAACCATTGAGACGTCCAATGAGTCATATTCACAGGATAAAGGGGTAAACATGGGATAAAAGCAAAGGCTTAAAAGTATTCCATTCTGAAGTCTCTGGTTTTATTCTTAATTTATAACCCCAACCGGAAATTTATAGCGAGCGCAGCGAGCGTAGCGAAGCGACACTTGTCACTGCGAGCTCTTAAAGCAATGCCTGTGTGAAGAGAAAATTCGAACTACTGCACATTCATTCGATAGAATTTTTTGACGCAGTAATTTGGACCCACAATGCATCACTTATTTTAGCAACGTTCTCCCCAGAATAACAGCAAATGTTCACCAAAAAGTTTACTTGCCTTGATTTAATGGATACATACTGAAGATAAATAGTAAACGAAACGTTCTTCATTAACTTTCAGCACTGTTCAGGTTTTTCTTACAAACTTTCATACGACGTCATGTGACGTCAGAGTCTAGACGCACCAAATGTCACGTGCGGTTTGACGAGCCCGATCTGAATTAAAACAATAGAAGAGTTTGCACTCGCTCTAACGGTCGCTCCGTCAACATATTATCCCAACAAAGGTTTAATATGTATCGAGGTAATTTTCAATGAATAAATGAGTAACAGGGTTGCAAATAACATTTTAACCTTAGGGGCCATGTGGGCCCCCTACTTCACAAATTTTACTAGCCCACATTGATTTTATGGGGCACACAATTTTTTTTTCACTTCGTAAAAAATCTTTTCATATGAAAACATAAGAGAAAAATACTTTATAGCCATAGTATTTCATTATTTCTTTTCAATTTTTTTCCTGCAGACTTTATTTACACTACTATATAAATGTATGAAATTCCATGTTATCATTCAATTCAATTTTGCTTCTTTTGATTTCAGTTTTTTCATAAATTTTGAATTTTTAAAAAATATTTGATTCTTGTAACATTCCCAAATAACCAAGGGTCGGTATGTTTTTTTTAAATATATAAATAAAGGAGCCAACAATTAACCAGGTGTTATATTTACAGTGGACACCCAACATGGCTGCCTATAGCGGCAGAAAATTGCAACTGCCTGATCCGACAAGCAGAGAGTGTGTACGCAAGTGGCGTTTGTAACCGTCAAGTTTTTATCTTGTTTTCATTTTGAAGATCCTTTTTGAAAACAAATGTTAAGTGTGTTTTTTCTTCTGGGTTGTGACTTTATATTAATAAACTAATCTTTAATTTGGGACTCCAAACGAGAAATTACAATATCAATCGAAGGAATGTGTATTACGCAGGTAGGGCTACACTACTTTCGCTTTTGCTTTCGCTATTTGCAAGACATATAAAACACACTTACCTAAACTGGCGGGCATTACCGTAAATAATTCCTATCTAACATCTTTAACTTTTAGACACAAAATTTTTACATCTTTAAGTTATTTTTCTGCTAATTTATCATGCATTCATTTAAATTGTATAGGTGTGTTCTTTTCAGCCAATCAAAAACTTTACCAGAATTTCTGTAAGCCTCGTTTTGGCGTTACAAACGATAATACGTATCTTTACCAGACCCTCTGGGTGGTCGGAGATTTACGTGAAGCCGAATGAAAAAGAATGGGGGAAATAACAATCTCTTTAAATTTAAGGTAAATGTTGACCGGTATCTCAAATAAAGCTACAATTAATATTTGAAAAATGGAATCAGCTGAATGATCAAACACAGCACTAAATAATTGGTAGTTGAACCAAACAATTAAGTGTCTGTGTGCTGTACCTGGCTATTAGTTTGAATGTTCTCTTGTTAAAATGATAATAGTATTATGAATCCGGTTTAAGGGTTTGTTCTGAAGCTCATAGGTTATGTTTACATTGTTTTATTGATAAAATGCCGACTCCTGTGGATTATTCCAACTACCTTTCAGCTGCCTATCATCGGACAAAACACAATTTTCTTTCCAGAGAGTAAAATGTACAGATGATCATTAAGATAAGGAAAGATAGCAAACAATACATCGAAATTAATCCGTGTAACATATTCCTATTATTATGTTTTGATGTAGAAATGCAAACAGCTGTTTCGTGTTTTCCAAAGTTACCATCTGGTTAAATGAGAGGCCTTCACAAGGGATTTATCCCGGTTAAACAAGCGTTATCGTCTCTGGAACGGACGCTGATTTATTTCTAGAGATATAAACATACCTTTCTCTGTCGGTGTACTTAAAATTAGGGTTCCAGGGACGAGCTTGTGTAGGTTGCTGCTGTGCCATGTCGTCAGAAAAAAATCTACTGTTGATATCAGTGTCAATTTATTTCTTGAACTCTCACCTGAATTTACTTGCAATAAAGCGCCTACATGACCATGTTAAAACACTCTCAAAACAAAATTTAAATAAATATTTTAAGTAATACCACAAATTAATTCCAACCATGTTACAACCACGCGTTATTTAAATCCCCAATTTAGGAAAGTTCAGGAAAGAAAGTTGTGTGTCGGTGACTTTCAATATTTTTTCACCTTCGCAACGAAGAGGAGAGTTCACTATGACGTCACAATAGGTTTGAGTGCGGGAGATTTTGTAAACAGACATTCACTCTCAGGTAGGTTATTTTCCTCTCTTTGTATTTCCTACACAAATTCATGTAAATGCATAAAAGTTCTTTCTATGCATATGCATGTTTTGGTTTATTTAGTTTATTCATTTTATAAGAAACTGCGGATTTTCTTTCTTTATATCATAATTAAGCATTGTAGAAATTTCAAGCAATGAATGCAAGCGACGAATAGGTATCTTTTAAACTCCCCTACATCGTTAAATTATTTCTTTGAACAGAAACTGAAGATAGTTTTTTGTAAATCTCTGTTGTCCTTCCTTGTTGGACTTCTTGCATTAATATTTTCAGAAATTTAGTGAATTTTAGTTTGATAATTTTTGTATGAAAGAATTTGGCTTTTCCATTAATATAACAATTTCATTTTTTTTTCTTAAAAACTTCATCCACTTTATATATTAACACCCTGGTCATGCTAGCCGCTTACATAATGATCAAACAAGAATTACATATTATATAGGATTTTGACTCTTCCATTAGTTTTACATAAGTAACATGTACATTCTTCACCCCCCTACTTTTATATATTTCATCCATTTTATATTAATATTCATTACATTAACAAGTCTTTCGTTGTTTGATAATATACAGACATAATACATGCACATTGTAACTTTTGCAGAAAAAGGATTAACATAAATGACTTAAAAAAAAAGAATGTTTGCTTGCCCTTTATATTCCGACTCAGGATAAAATTATTGAGTCGGTAGGAAGGAGGATTGGTAATTTTTTTTTTCTCCTGAAAATTTCAACTTATTTTTACGTGATCATTATGAAGAATAAAAAGAAAATTATCGTGTCCTAGAATGTAAATAAAAAGGGTTTGAATCGTCAGGGAAACCAAATATTTTTTTAAAGATGGCCCATATTACATGTATCCCGGCCGCAATTGCATCTTACATATGATTTTTATTTCATTGTAAAGGTATGTCGTCATCAAGTAGCAGCAGTAGTAGCTCGGGTTCGGACAGCTCAGAGGAAGTAGTGGTCCACCGGTATCTACAACACGACCTTAAGTCTGGCGTAGCCCAGGGGAGAGCACTCCTCCGTCGTCATGGCGGGATAAAGGCACAGCCTTGTCACTATCAGGTCTGTCAATTACTGACTATTATAACAACCTACTGAGGAAAATTTGAACCAAAGAATTTACTATTTTTCTTTAAGATGCTTTTAATCTGGCTTTTGATAATGTTTCAGATTTTCTTATACCAAAATCCAAAACTCAATTATCAAAATATATTTTCAATACATGTAAATTAAAAAATATGCTTAATTTTATGATCACCTATACATGTATTTATACCTGCTTTGCCTATATCTTTTGATATGTAACAAATATTTTTTTTAAAAAATCACAATTAAGTTCACATTTTATCTAAATTTTCTGCCATTTCTCATTTCAAACTTACATCATGTCATAAGCTTTTAATATTTTGTTACTAGCTGTTTTAAAAACCATGCAGTTTTAATGCAATATCCGGCATTTTCAGAATTAACAAAAATCCTAATGAGATCATATTTGAAATAACATTTTCATAAATCTGAGGGGGTAAAGCAACAACGTTTGTCGTGTGAAGTTTCTTTACTTAATTCAATTTTTTCAAAACTTTGTTAAATTTCACCCACAGTTACGGGATTGTCGCCACGCTGTTCTGGACCACAAGGGTCACGGTTACCAGGGTAAACATTGGGACACCCCAGTCCTTAGCAACAACCTGGAGAAGTCCACCCGCCGACTCACCATTAACGCCGTGGACAGGTAAGGGGAATAGCTCTTCGTCTCTACAGCGTAAAAAAAAATTAGTAAATGTTTTATTTATTTTCAAGATTATTCTTTAATAATTTAAACATTAATTATGTTAATTGAACGATGAAACCATGGTATCATTGGTAGATCACATTTTTCCTCAATAAAGTACATAAGTAAGTGAATATAATAATTAAATTGAAGGGTTAAAGATGTACCAATTGTCAGCCTCGGATTAAAAGGTTGCGGGGGGGGGGGGGGGTTAGATATAAAAATAAAAGATTGAAGGGAAATGTGTGTGTTTCTTTTTTTTATTTTAAATTCATTGAAAACACAAATCAAAGTTATTCATAACATGTTATAAAATGCATGTTGGTAGTACATCAAATGATTTTTTTTTTCTTCAAAAAAATGTACCTAGTAGTTGAGAGCGGTTATTTTAATGCTTACACATTTTTTGTTTTAAATTAGAGAGATGGATGAGGAACAGAAGAATCGCGCGTATCACGAGGCTGAAACGGCGAGGCTGGCTAAGGAGATCATCGCACCGCTACTGGCCGAGTATAGCGACACCATTACTATCAGCATGGTGAGTATGATACTCGTTATATATATATTTAATATTTAGATATAGGATTAAAAAAAACAAGAACCTTATTTCATTAAACATAATATTATAGGTAAAATCAAAGTGCTTGAATTATTAAAAAAAAAAAGTACCCATATATCTTGGAACTGAGGGCCAATATTGTATGAAGAAAAAACATTATAATACACTGCTAAAATCGTTAAAAAATCAAAGGAAAGGAAAAAGAAAGTGGGCGCACTAGATGGGCAGTCGGCAGGAATCATTGACACGAAACAATTCAGATTTAAATGTCCAAGCACCATATAGTTTTAATACATATCTTATACAATGAACCTAGAAACTTCACGAGAATGGATTTCTGCCTTATGTTTATTGATTTGTAGATAATTTGTTTTTCAATTAAAAGGTGTCATGAAAGATAAATTATCTATGCTGCAGACAAATCGTAGAATGTAATAGAAGTCTAACGCAAACTAATTTTTGTGCTCAGTTTTTAAATGCACTGAAAATATTGAATGTAACAGTACGATCGAAGTTTCTAGTTTTTTTTTAATATATTCAATATTTTTTCATCAGGTGTAACTTTGTAATTGCAAGTTCATGTATGTTTATCTCTATTTGGGAACGTTAGCACTATAAATGAACAAAATGTGAACGCATTGAAAAATAAAACAATTAATGTAAAATAATTTATGAAACATAATTAGTAACTATATTCAAAGAGTATTTCTTTCAGTACCAATTCAAAAATTATTAAGCAAAAAGATTTAAAAAAAAATATATAAAAATCACTGTATTCGAACCTAAAATGCTGCTTCGATATAGCTTGAATCCAGCGACAAACCAATGTAGCTACCGCGGGACACTATACCTAGCTAGCATTTAAATCTTTGATTTAAACCCAAAGCCTTATACAATTGGACTTTGTCAATTTTCTATCAGAAAATAAATGGAAAAAGTTTAGATTTTGGTATTTCTGGGTCGTCTCTCCATTTTTTAAACAACTGGAATAAATTTTACGGTTAAAAATACACCGATAACACATTTAAAATTCATGGAGAGAAGACCCAGAAACAACGAAATTAATGAAAAACGGCTATAAAAGAGTCGATTTTTGCATCATTTGACTCCTACGGCTATATTCAGGTGCATATTCAAATAAAATCAAACATATTTAACTGAATATTTGCCCATTTTACATTCACCTACAACACATTCATTGGCTATGTTTTGAAAAAAATGTATAAATCAGTGATATTTTTTTAATTCTTTTTATGAGCCACTTTTCCTGCCGAATTGCCATCTTAAGCGCCCACTTTCTTTACGCGATTGACTTTTAAAATGAAAGAAATTTCATTACATTATAGCATAATCATTGATGCATATATATATATATGATTAGATATTCAATTTATACATGTTATTTCAAATTTTAAAAATGTGTAAAAATCCTTTTTTTAAACTTTATAATTTCTTTCTTTGAATTTTTTTCTAATCATTTTTAATTTTCCCTCCATGTTCATTTTACTGAGTAATTTTTGCATTTATAAAATGAGAATTATATTTTTTAGGGGAGTGGGTGGGGAGATAAAATAACTTGCAGGGAAAGAAAATTAAAAAAAATCTATTTTAGAGAGAAATGGCTGCAGATAAGCGCGTTCAGACGCAGCATCAGGAGATGATAAAAGACACGGTGCAGGGTGAACTCCTCCACCAGGAAAACGCCAAGCAGGTCCAAAAAATGTCTGAGGAGGAACGCGAATACCAGATCAAACTTCTAATGGCCATGAAAGATGACGCCTTGGTGAGTTTCAAAAAGTTTAGTATTATTATATTGGGCCCGACGTAATATTGGGGAGAAGGGTCTTAAGTAAAAAAAAAATGCACTTCCTCTCCTTTTCCCATGATGTTATAATGAAAGGTTTTCTATAGTTACCGTCTTTTTTGGTTGGGGTTCAAGTTCTTAAATTTATTTTATATAATCTATTGTTTCTTGCCAGCCGAACATTGAAAAAAAATGTTACTCATTATATAATTTTGCCAACTGAATTTCAAACTTATGTCCTACGAATGTTTTTCTTGTATTTTTTTAAGATTTACAGGCAATTGATACACTTTTATATTATGATTTAAGCGATCTACTCTTTATTATGAAATCAACTTAGTAATTGTTTGTTTGCATGTGTTAAAAAAAGAAAACGGCCAGCATTGACTCCTTGGTGGACAAAATGGCAGAAACCAACTACAAGCGTTCACTGATCAACACGGACCTGGAGGAGGCCTCAGAGAGGTTACAGGTTAGTTAATATATTACTTAAACTAGTAATCTAGTATCACTTCCCCTCTAACTCCATAGAGATTACAGATCAACCTTTATAGAACCTCTTCGTTTAAAGAGAAAGATACCCTTCCCCCTACACCTCTTCTGTGAGAGAGGTTACAAGTTAGCCAATATAAACCCTTAATTTGAATTTAAAAAATAGCCCCCTACCCTTCTACCATCAAAGAGGTTTCAGGTCAGCAATTATAATCTCTTACTTAAAATAGAGAAAGCCCCCCCCCCCCTTCCCCTCTACTGTCAGAGATTTACAGATCAGCCATTATAACCTCTCAGGTTGAATAGAAAAATGACTTCCTCCCCTTATGACGTCAGAGAGGTTAAAGGTCAGCGATTAAAACCTTGATCTTAAGTTTAAATTAAAAAAAATAGCCCTCCCCCTCCCCCATCTGATTCAGTAAAGTAAAACTGTAATGATAAAAATTACTCTGATGGTGTACTTTTTCTGAAGAGGAACTTAAAATAAGCAAAGAAATTTCATTGACTTATATAGTGTGTTGAACTAATTACACTTCAATAAGAAGATTCTTTCGATGATTAAATTATTTTATTGATCTTGTTACTATTAGTAAATGACGTGCTTTGATTTTTTTAAAGTAATTTTGATAAATCTAGTTATCATTTTGAAGATTTGATTCGTATTCGTCATTAAGATTCTACAGTTTTCTTTTGATAAATAACCGAAAATTTTGTAAAGAAAAGGATCAGCAAAACAAATGGGTATTGATGGTATATCATCTAAATTACTCTATTTAGCAGAGCCTGTTATAGCAAAACCTATTACAAACATTATTAACTTGTCTTTATCATGTTCAATTTTCCCCGACAAGCTTAAAGAAGCTCAGGTTACACCGATTCATAAGAAAAATAGTGCTCTTATAAAAGACAATTGCAGACCTGTCAGTGTGCTCCCTGTTGTTTCAAAAATTTTTGAAAAAGCCATTGAAATACAATTGTCTGCTTATTTTGAAAAAAATTTTAACCCATTTTTGGCCGCTTTTAGACCAGGTTTTGGATGTCAATCAACCCTCTTACGGGTTATTGAGGACTGGAAACATGCCCTTGATAACAATGAATATTTAGCTGCGATCTTAATGGCAAATATTATAAAGAAATATTTTCTGCTTTAAAATATCTGGGAATAAACTTCAATGCACCTTAATTAGAATACATGAGCAACTTGATTTGAGGTTAATACCCCCGTAAAAAGGTACAGTGCAGACAAAAAACGTAAAGAAGTTGGAATAACAATTCAAAATGTCTTTAATTTAGATCGTATTATGATTTTAATATATTTAGAAACACTGTTTTGAATTGTTACATTCGTTTGTAATCAAATAAAAGGTTGGAATAACCCATCATAAAGCATTGTTTTAGGTCGTTTCATTAATTCAATATACATAAATTTATAAACATCGTTTTAATTTTTTACATTTGTTATCAATTTCTACAAAAATCAACATTATCTGTAGCAAGAAAATTAACAATCGCTCATCATAGAGCGATTTGATGCAAAAGGAAAACTATCTATCCTTCAGTGTTCGGTAATTTTGAAGTAAATAGAATAAGATAGCACGGACCAGTGAAACATAAAGCGATAACGAACAGTATTCAATTCAAAAGTCCATAAAACATAACAAAATAGGAGTAGAGTAGACACGGACCTCCAAGACATCAGAGGTGAGATCAGGTGCCATGAAGGACTAGGCATCCTGTTCCAAGCCGTCCTACCGATGTGTTTCTGGTCATGATCGGGAAATATGGATAAAACATGTCTTAAATCTATTGTATAAATAATGGACTAACAATTGGTAAAAAAAGTCAGTCATCATTTTAGTTGTATTTCCTGACGAGATCATATCATCGACAATGGAACTTAGGAGATGATTGCTTTAAACAAAACTCCTGATATTCTTGTTAGACCACATCAATACACTGACATCCTTATTTGTCTCTTCATGACTCATTTTCCTAACGCTCATCTTAAAAAAAAGATAATAACATTTGTACAAAGCTATCTTTTATAATAAAATTCATATTAAGTACCGATATTATGAGATATTTTCATTGTGTGAACTTGTTTAAAGATGGTGCCCATTATTTCACACTGAGATTTTTGAAATTGTGTAAATTTTAAACAGAAAATAAAACATTTCATTAAAAATTAAGGAACAAGTTTTAAAAAACATTGAAATATATTTATGATAGCAATACTTCCATTTGAAAATATGAAATCTACATTTTATAAGCGTTGCTGAATAATATCAAATACAAACTGTGGGTGTAAGGAGCCTCCTTAAATTCGATGTGCAGTTGAATCATGTATAGAAAATCAAGTGAAAAACATTAGTAATTAGCAGTAAATATAAATGTACTGAACTTTAGCTTCATTTTCTTTGATCTTTTGGAGCCAAAGTTTTTCTAGGAAATGCTACTCCCTTCATAGCTAATTGCAAAATACTAAGGTTCTCTTTACGCAGAATGATGCATTTTGTGTCCTCGTACATAGTTTTTAAATGGATTGAAACGTCAAAATGTTCATGATTGATTGGATCATCACATAGAACTGTAATTTGTATCCACCAATAATTCTTCTTCAAATTATGAACATTTTCAACGTAATATTTATTTTTCCTGCGCATAAGGAAACTCATTTCACAACAAGTAATTTAAAGTTAAATTATTTATTAACGTCAGTAATTTTATGGGAAAACAATCTGTCCATTTCATTTCGTAGAATTGGTTATTGAGATGATGAAATGCAATAAAAATGAAAAAAAAAATGATAAAATAGTTGATAACTATGATGGACAGCGATCTCAAAAATCTGAATAAAAAAAGAAACTTAAAACTAAACAGTGAGCCAAAACGTAAAAGGTACATATTCTTTACATCAATACCTTTTTTTTTTTTTTTTTGGTTTAATGTTTTGAGCAATTGAGTCAAATGCTGAATGACCTTTTTCATACTAATTCCTAGTCCATTATTTATGACGACGGATTTTTCTGTTATTTAAGGAATCACTGTCTAGTTTTGAGAGTATGCCAGGTCATCAACAATAGTGGGAAACATGGGATAATTTGCATAACGGGCGAAGCCCGTTATGCTAAAATTATCCCATGTTTCCCACTATTGTTGATGTCCCTGGCATACTCTCATAACTAGACAGTGTTTCCTTATATTTCCATTTCATTGTGAAATAAGATTGTTGATTTAGACTTTAAAAATGCAGACATAGATTTAAATTACACGAGGATTCCCATCCCAATTTTAGTAGGCCTCCCCAAACACAACGGCAGCCCGCACGAAATTTTCATGCATATTTGGCCTCCTTAGCGTCAGACTCAGAGACAGATGCACACGAGATTTGCATGCATACTAGGCCTCCATAGCCCCTGACCTATCGACCTGCCTAATTTACATTCCGGCAGAATTATCAGGAGATTAACTCCGCTTACTTTCAAAGGGTTATCATAGAGGAAAATTTTAGAAATGGAAATATTTTCCGAACATGGCATGGAGCTTACGTCAGGTGTGAAAGATTAACAAGGGATGCTTCATGATCCTAACTGTGATGCTTTTTTCTGAATGTAGGAGGATGAGAAAGAGACCAACATTGAGTACAATAAGGCGGTAGGAGAGCTCCTGGACCAGTCCTTAGTCACCGTGGTACACGAGAACCATAGAGACATGCTCAGAGAACAGGTACATGTAATACAGTACATTACTTGTTACCCAAATACTGTGTGATACAGTGGAACCTGTCTTTCCCGAATACTGTGTATTTCGAAATCCTCACAGTACGATGAAAACTTAATTCTTCTCTATCAATAAATTCAGATGTTTATAGCGCATGTTGTCTTGTCTTGAATAATCTGAAATCTCTATTAAACAAAAAGGTTATTTTTAATGTCTGTAAAAAAAAAATTAGTGTGTTTTTTCATATGCTTTTGGATGACTTTAAAATGTATTTCTTTTCTGACAATTAAGTTCCTGTTGATATTTGGAGGTACATTTGTACAGAATCCACAATTACCTTTCTTGTTTTATGATTATCTTATACGGCATTATTACCATTATTAAACACTAGTTTAATAAATTTCTCTCATTTTAGGCAGAGCAAGCCAGGCAAGAAAAAATTCAGATGCAGAAGGAGTTCGAGAATGATAAAACTGCCAAACATGTCCAACACAAGTACACACGTGCCCTGAAAAAACTCACTGCAATTTATCACGATCTCGAGGTAAATAAAGATAGTCTTAGTTTTAATTTGAACTTTAAAAAGTGCTATTTTTGTGTCAATAACTGTTTCCTGTGACTTTTGAACTCAACCATTATCATATGATGTCTAATTAATTAAGTATTTTATTACTAAGAAGACGTTTATTGTATTTGCACATGTTTTATTTTGATATAATATACAGTTATTTTTGCCCGGTGTTATTTTCACTATTTGAAACTTGTTAACAATTTTGCCCCGTTTTGAATTCGATCAATCACAGTTCAATTTAATAGATTATGCTGTGTTTTTTGCCCCCCCCCCCCTTTCCTTTAAAATTTGCCCACATAAGACAAGGATAAAAAGGGCAAAATAAAAACGGTGACGAAAATACGGAATACGGAAATACATTCTGTAGTATTTGGAAAACGTTCAACATGTGTATTGTCAGTACATTTGATTCATAAATTGATTGATTGATTGTATACTGTTTAACGTCCCTCTCCAGAATATTTCACTGATATGGAGACGTCACCAATGCCGGTGAAGGGCTTCAAATTTAGGCCTATGCTCGGCACTTATGGCCTTTGAGCAGGGAGGGATCTTTATCGTGCCACACCTGCTGTGACACGAGGCCTCGGTTTATACGGTCTCATCCAAAGGACCGCCCCATTTAGTCGCCTTTTACGACAAGCAAGGGGTTACTGAGGACCTATTCTAACCTGGACATTTGATTCATATAAATTACAAGAAAGAGCTAACAAGAAACAAAGTTCCGTGATTATTTCATTCTTTGAGTATTTTGATTAAGGCAAAAAAATTAAAACATAATGAAATCATGCAGAATGTAATGAAAAAGATGGTTTTCATTTCTTAATAAAATGATTTTTTTGTTTTTTATTCTGTACTGGATAGATTAAGGACAAGAAAGAAGAGGAGGCACTGAAGCAGTACCTGGAGGACGTCAAGTTTTCAGCTCAAGAGGATATCATCAGAATGTAAGTAAGGGGAGGATCACAAGTGTTCTGCTCAGGAGGATATCATCAGAATGTAAGTTAGGGGAGGATCACAAGTTTTCACTCAGGAGGATATCGTCAGAATGTAAGTAGGGGAAGGATCACAAGTTTTCTGCTCAAGTCCCGCTCAGGAGGACATCGTCAGAATGTAAGTAAGGGGAGGATCACAAGTTTTCTGCTCATGAGAATATCGTCAGAATGTAAGTCAGGGGGAGGATCACAAGTTTTCATCTCAGGTGGATATATCGTCAGAATGTAGGTAAAGGAGACATCAGAAGTTTAAGATTAAAAATTAAGACGAACCTACAGTAAATTTCTCATGACAGATGTGACTATTCAACAGGCTATATGCTTCCTCCTCTCGGTTACTCGATCCCACCTCTGGATTTTCCATCGGAGGGGGGTCTGTGTTCCATGCCCTGTTCACTATTTTTTAAATTTTATAGATTTATTTTTTTTAGTTTGATCTTTTTTTTTCATTACTACGAGTAATTTTTTAAACTTTAGAATATACAGAGTGGTCAACTGTATTTTTGAACCGAGTTGGATTAACAGTTTTATTTCTATTGTGCAATGTTAGCCCAAAATTAGTTAAAAGGTGTATTTCTTTGAGGCAGGGATGCTTGAAAATGTTTTTTTATGAGGTTGGTAAAAAAGAAAAACTGATAAACTTACAGCTCCAGTGTTTTTATCCACGAAATACTAGAGAAGAGAGCAATAAGAGCTTATTTTATTGAATAGTGTAACCAGCAAATAAACTATAAGACGTATTAACAGCAAGCAGGCCGGGCTACAGGGAAAGGGAATTATACAAATTTTTTATGATTCTCTTTTAATCAGGCTAAAAGATTAAAAATACTCAGTAGCAGATTTCTACTTAGCAGAGTTTTCAGGAACAGAACTAACAGAAATTTTTTATGTACATGTTTACCAAAAAGCGAATTGTTATCTTTTCTAAAGTATCTAAGTATAGTTGCAGTGAATGAACTAACAATTTTTGTTTTAGTTAAGCAGAGTTTCCAGACGTGTTTGTTTTAATTGAGCGTACAACTGTATGTTTTGATTGAAAAAATTACAAGAAACTGAACTACATGTAACAAATGTTTGTATTGATTGAGCAGGGATTTCTGAAACTGAACTTTCAACTGCTTGTTTTGAAGGAGAGCGGTTTTTATTACTTTAACTGTTTGTTTGTTTGACTGAGCAGGGTTACCCGGAAGTGGACGAGTAGGTTGTACTCGGAGGAGAAGACGAGGCGGATCCATGAAGAGGAGGAGTGTATAGACCAGGAGAACCCGGCCAGGAACGCCATGCTGAACCTGATGAACCGAGTCCAGAGACAGATGATGCTGCAGAAGTTCAAAGGAAAATGGGTAAATCATAATTTAATTATAACGGTAACATGATGAAACATATGAAGATAACGAACAGTATTCAAGATCAAAAGTCTGTGAAACAAGACAAAATTAGACATTTCAAAACATCGATGGGATTAGATGCCATAGAGAAATGAGTATCCCCAAATATGATCCAAAAAGCCGTATCAAAAAAGCAAAATTTAAAGTTCACAGGTGAGGATCACGAGAATAAATTAGACGCCTTCATTTTAGTTGGAAAAAATGGATAGTTCGTAGGTTAAAAAATAAATTGTTTCAACAAATCTCCGATTTTAAAAATTCATTTGAATTTAAATGCATGAAAATTATTACATAATAAGTATTTCATTGAAGACAGAAATAGTTTTAAGTCGGGCCATTTTAAGCCAGTTGGTCGAGAGAGTGCATCCAAACATTTGTTTCTGAGATGACCTAAACATCAAGAACAGCATGTGTTAACTTAAAGAAGTAGCTACGCTTATGTTATCATGCATTCTTCTTTTTCAGCGTTTATTTTCACAACATAATTATAAGAAAGTGGTATCAGAAATTGTGAAAACGAAATATTTTATCATAAACTGCTCCCATCGAACTTGACTACTTTCAACAAGAAGATGGATTTCAAATAAATTTTGTTAACAATGTTTTAGACCTTGGTCTTCAAAAATGATAGGATGTGTGAAAATTCAAACTGCAGATATTTGGAATTGCCATTCTGTATCCATACAATCACTATTTACTTATAAACAACCATTTGCTTAACAGATCACCGTCACTAACAAGAAGAAGTTAGAAAAGGCCGAGAAGCAGGAGGAAAACCTGACTGAGCAAGACCGAAAACTTCGGAAGCTCCGAACCAGAAGCCGGAAAGAAACCAAAGTTGTCACGTGAGTAATGTGTATGCATATTTGTTCCTTAAGTTTTGCTCTCTACTCAGCTCATGTATTCTGAAGTTTATTTCTTTAATAAGAATTTCTTAAAAGGAGTGTAAAAATTGTTCAGATGTTGAGTATGCGTTTGAGTATCGAATCATATGAGAAACATTTACCCATAATGTCGTATGATTACATTTAACAAACATATTTCCTTTATTTTTCATAAACTGAATATAATTGATATATCTGTTTTATTTCAGATGGCAGGATGAATATTAAAGATACAGCCGTTAAATTCTAATAAAAGTGTTTTTGTAAATATCATGCCGGAAATAAACGCAATTTGCCTATGAACTGAACGAGTTTTACTATATATAGTACATGTATCGATCTCTTCTGTCTATCTTGTCTAACATTCAAAAGAATTTTTATCTTTTGAATTAATCAAAACGGGTGCTAAGATTAATATTTTTGAAAAATACTCTTCCGCTTAAGGATCTTGTGTATAAGTATATTCTGAAGTGTTGCACCTCTGACAAAATGAAAACCTTACTTTTTCTGGATGTTATAGTCCTTTTGGAAGTTTGTGGCCAAGATCGATGTATGAAAACGGGTATATTTACAGAAAAGAAAATTATTAACACATAAATAAACTTTTAAAGTTATCAAAAATAATCTTAACCAATCTTTATACCACTATTATCATTTTTGAAGAAAGGATAGTTTAAGGCTAGATACTTTCCAAACACAAAATAATTCAAATGTAATTCGAATGAAATTTAATTTTATTTATTAAATCTAAAGTAAGTTTTGATTATAGTAATTGCTCTTTGAATAAACTCAGCACATTTCAGATGTTTACAGTGTTTTATTCATCTATATAAGATTAATTTACTCCATTTCTCCCTTAGAAAGAAAAAGAAATCACAAGCCTATCAAATTAAAAAAAAATCAAAATTATGTCGTTCAAAATTATCATTTCAAATCACATGTCACCTATATTAAGCAAAATGTGGTTTTTTCCCACTTTTCTTCTTAAACATTTGCGTTTAAAATTTTTAATTTTTCATTAAAGAAAATAGTCAAATAAGGCCATTTGAAAAAAAAACAACTTTTGGTTGCCTTCTCTCTACCGTCTCAAAACCTTTTTTTTACTTTCTAAGTAACGATATTAGTTATCCAGGTTCAATCAAGGGTGTACGAGGATTTACCCTGGGTTTTATTCCATACACCCTGAACCCGAAGGATAGATGGTTTTCAAATTGCCTCTCATTCTTTTAATACGTGACTTTCACATGGATCTGATACATTTAATCCATTCTGAAAAGGTGTCAACGTCTTCTTTTCATATCTGGCCCATCATCTGACGTAATTTTCAACAGAATCCATAATATTTATGAAATTCCGACGCCAGTTGAAGGATCGGGGTTCCCTATATTTAGGACCTTTTAAAATAAATGTCTAAGGTCCTCATTACGAACTATATTTACGTCACCTGTAATACCGTGTCCAGCAGGACTATAGTTAAAGGGCGAAGAAGAACATGAACACGAAGGATGATTATGTTTCAGATAGTCGGTATCCAGGCCATGTAAAGTGTTTTATAATAGATACGTTTGGAAGCAATTATGGCCGATGTATATTTGTAGGAAAAACAAGGTGTAGTCTTTAACTTGAAATATGGTGGAATACAAGACTGGACTCTTTTGTGATTAAGAATATTACTGATATTAACCGCGTCAATTCCTTTATTGGCATATTGAAAGTTAGGGAAAAGACGGATTGTTTTAGCTGCATTTTCTTCTGTGAAACGTGGGAGATTAAAAAGCCTATGATATGCAATATCGATAATCACAGATAAACAAACATTCGAGCCTATATTCAGGTAACGAGAAATCTTAAATTGGATATTCCTTGGCCTTAATTTTCAAGAAGACTGTTTAAAAATTTCAAAGGGACAGAGTACAGTTTTGTTCGAATATGATGTAGACCTAACTGTTGATTTACATAAGGTAGTAATGAATCAAAAGAGACGTCGTGTATTGCAAAGGTTAAATAATTAAAGAATATATGGTTTGGACTACCAAATTTCTTCGATATATCCATGATATTCAAGATATCAGAATTCGAGATATCAATGTTTTACTGTATATATTGCATTCTAGAAACTTTATACGAATCCTTACAATCAAAGATTCATAGTGGGTTCCAGTAAACGTTCAACCAAGCCTCTTTCTTTACTTCTCATTAAGATATTAACAGTATTAGCGAAGGAAGATTTCAAGAGTACCGTCCTCAATATATTCAAGACGTGGTGTAAATCAGATGTGGATACCTAAAAATTCCAAGGAACTTTTGGACAATTTAAAATCATGAGAATCAACAGCTTAAAAACTTACTGTTGCAAATCACGCGATCCTTACTTGTATTTCAACATATTGAACACGTTTTTCTGTTCACATAAAAGAGACTATATAGGGCCAGATGATAATTCCAAAAAGAGATAAATAATTTAACTATAACTGATATTGGCAGGTCCGATTTTTCTCTACATTTCTTAAATTTGTAGGAAATATTAGTTATTTTTATATGTTTCCTATATCTATTTTTTCTTATTCTCACATATAGTTAAGTTGTCACATAAAGATAGAAAATGATACAATGTTTACTTGATTGTATTATTATATAGATTTATTTTTGTTAACATTAACCTTGCCTACGAATATTTGATTTGAATTAAAAAAAAATATATGGATTTATGAAATGTAAAAGCGGTATTACTGATGATGCCACATCTGTGGATTCAGTTTTCAACACATTTCTTTCAGAAACTAAGGATCCTAATACCGATTGCAAAGGCATCTATGTATATGTATTACATGTAAGTCATTTCCTTCCACATGGTATGTTTATAGAGTTTACGAATAGTATCTTCATTTTTAATCCGTTTTTTCCTGAACACTGCATCAGCGACAGGAAAATGTCCAAGGTATCGATTTCTACATTCAGAGTACAAATTCAAACTAGCATCACTTGTTATTTTATACATTCACTCATTTTTGAGCGTTTTGATTGTCGGTATGCATGTGTTTTATTTTTCAAAAAACCTATATTTGCCAAAGATTAATCCAAATTTGATATTTGCAAATGTATTGAACAATATTAAATAAGTTTCGGACAGGCATTTCGTCTTTTAATTTGATGAAAAAATTCGGGATTTCAACAAAAGGTTATTTTTAACGGTTTTTAAAATTAAGTTTACTAGTATCACATGAAATACAAATGACAAGATTAAAGAAATAAAACATCTAAAATACATGTATTTTGAATATTTTAAGTGCATTTTGTAGTGTAGGTGATAGAAGAACTTCGAATATGTCTATTTAGCTCTCAGTTTCCATCAGAACTATGTACAAATACCAGTCTATTTTGTTTTTTGTCACAGAATACCCGTGATAACATGTGCTTTTGACCTTGGATTGAATCTGACAATTGTCTTCACCGATGGTACAGCAAAAGAATACCTACACAATACGTCTTGTAGCTGGTTTCTCGAAACCTAGAATTAAACGTTCACCTAACAAATGAATTGATTGTAATTATATAAGCATAATTACAATAGAGTAAAGATAGATAGCTTTTAATATACGGAATTCATGAAAAAACCTTTTGTATCCGAAATAACCTTTCATTTTACTCAGCTATCTGAAATTTATTCAAAATAGTTTTCAATTGATAATAGCTTTAAGGGGAGACCTATGTCCGAAAAGTCTTTGTGTGAAATTTCAAAACTCTGACATTTCTTTCCTGACCATTTGCACTTAATTTTTAGGTATTAAAAACAATACCTTTATGTGCTTATTTTTACACAGGAGCACGTGCAAAAACAGTGTGAAATGCAAAAAATAGATTATTTTCAGAGATTATTGTTCTACCCCAATACTGCTCTAAAAAAAACCAAAATTGTCAAATTACATTCAAAATCAATAGGTATTTAATTTATATGAATTGTATCTTTAAAATAAAGGCAAATTCATTGTTATTCAACTCGCATGAAAAATTATAATGGAGCACAATATTAGCAGCACCCCGTTTTTCTTGTCGTATTTTTACAATTCCGAGATGCATAACGTAATATTTTAAAAAGTCTTTGTGTGAAAATGTTGAAATTCATATTTTTTGAAAGAAATGATTCATCTCTTTATTTTAACAAAGAAAAAAGTATATCTTTATGATAAAATAAACGAGAAATATGACGTTTTCTTTTATTTTCGTACTCTTGTGTCATAAATATTGACCTTTCTGCACTAAAAAAAAAAGATAAGTAAGCACTGACAAACATTCGAATATGAAACATTTTTGCGAAAAACGAGTATTTTGTTTTTATTAGAAACACTTTAAACAGATTAATTCTTTTCTTCTTCATTCCAATCATTTTGTTTCTCTCCCCCCTCCCCATTTCCCCGTCAACAACTAACACCTATTAGAACCTAGGAATGACTTAACACAATAAAATCAACATGTTCTATAAATCAATAAGGAAGATTTCCAAGATGGTGCACTTGAGATAGACGCTAGATCTCTGTGAGCGCAAGTTTGGGGAAATATAGCTATAAATAGTGATTGTTATGACACTTGATTTTTAAGCAGTGTGCTTTAATTCGTTACGAAGGACATTTACGGCGTAAAGAATTTGAGACTTTTCCTTCCTATTTGATACTAAAGGAAAAGGAGTATATTGGCTTTCATTTGTCGTGAGCACTGTTTACCACTGTTATAACCGCTTACTATATAGCGATCTCAAAACACCGAGATTCTCGATTCAACGTAGCCTGTATGACTGTGTGTCTTTTGTGTATCATAGACAGAGTAACGGTAACGGTATTTGTAATCCAGACCATGTCAACTACCAGGAAAGGTTCGGAAAGAAACAAAGCTGGGACTGATAAGCTGGAAACAGCTGACCCAACAATAGCTTCGATAAAAAACGATCTTAACGAAATCAAAGAATGTTTACAAAATACAGTAAAAACGTGTGATCTTGAAAGTATGGTAACAAATGTTGTAAAAGGATTGTTAAAGAACCATGAAGAAAAAGCAGAAAAGAGAGAAATCAAGTTAAACGAAAAAATAAGCGCACTATCACAGGATGTTGACAAACTTAGAATGGAGAATGAAACTTTGTGAAAAAAAGTGTGTGAAGCAAATAAAAACACAAGAAATCTGAAAAAGGAACTGAATGAAGTGAGAGATTTAGCGCAATTTGCCACAGTAAAGTCAAATTATAACGAATAGTATAGTAGAAAAAATGGACCGACTTTACTTTACCGGTCCCCAGAAAAACGCGCTAAATT